TACGGTTCGTCCTTAGGTACATGGAGCAATAAAGCATGCAACATAAGCATGTGCAAAAAACAACCCCTTTTTATCTGGTTTCCCCATTTTCATTCACTGTTTTCTTTCTTTTGGTCATTTGATTAGGGAGCTACTTGTCAAGCTTGAGCATGACATAGGGAGCTTCGACTTCCTCGCCATCAGGAGTCTCAGGGTGTATTTCAATAATCACGCTCTTCTGGTGTTCGGGGATCGGCTTGCGGCTGATCTCTGCAATCAGCTTGCTCATCCTGTTTTGGGGAGACGTTAGTAAATCGTATCTTAATTGCTTTATTAGGTCAATTATTATTTTGAACTTACTTCATGGGCAGACGATCCTTGACCTTCGCAGGTGGGTAGAAACTGGCATATAGCAGGCTGACACCAGAGCTAACCATAACAATCTCTAGACCCTGCTTCTTGAAGTGGTCCAAGAACTCTTGGAGGGTGACATCATCAATCTCGAAGCGGTCCCACAGCTTGTCCAGAACAACTTCACCGTTTGGACCGTTGTACTTGGTCTTGGGACTGGCAATCGGCTCACTAAAGCCGAAGAAGGGAAGCGCAAGGTTGATGAAACCATTCTTGTATCTCTCGATATCCTGGTTGTCGTCAATGACCTTGTAAAGTTCGAGGATCACCAATCCAGTCACCAGGGCAGTGGTGGTAGCAATAGCTGGAATAATCTTTCCAGCGATGAACTTGGTGTTGTGCCTGTCGGCGGGTTCAATCTCATAGTTCTCTGCACGCAGGTTGCTGGCAGCTGTGATGAAGTCGATGTGGTGGTTTGTGTCATCATCCTTTTCAAACTCGACCGGCTCAAGTTTGAATCCAGCAAGAGTCTTGGGGTCGGGAAGAGAGCTGACGAGCTTGTTGATTTCTTCATTGTCATCAAATGAAGTTGGCTGTGCCTCCGGCTCTTCATTATCATCGGCCTGAATCTTAACACCAGATGAGGGGGTGAATTCTGGAATGATCATATCGTCGGTCACCTTGCGGTAGTGGTCCTTATCAACACCGGGGTTCTTGATGTTGTAGTTGAACGCATGAAGGTTGGCAGCAGCAATGATATATGCAAGGTGGGTATCATTCTTGGAGTCGAACTTCAATGGGGTTGGCGCGCGCTTTGGTCCAGACCAGAAAGGAGCACCGCTAGAAGTGACCGAGTCTCGAGGGAAGTTAAATAGGAGCTGTTGAATGGCGTTGTTGTAGTACTTCTCGAACTGATGTCTGGCCCAGACAATACAGTCATCGAAGCTAAGAGGTTTTTCGGTAACCAGGAAATCGCGGAGATTCTCCAAGGTCTGCTTCTCAGATCCACCCTGCTTCAAGGTACGCTCTATGTAGCCTGGCTGTGTAAGATATTGATTTACAACCTCGGGAGGTCCAGCAAATAGGGACTCGAAGATATCTCTCGCCCAAGCGATAGTGTGCTGAATCTGGTTGGGGAAACTTCTCAAAGTGCACATTGGGAAGGACTTCTCCGGTGGGTCGTGGGAACTGGAGTATGACTCGGTGAGTCGTGGAATGATAACCTGAGTGTTTCCCTTGGTACCGAGGGTACCGCTCTCAAGCAGAGGCTTTCGGAAGAACACACAGCGTCTGTCGACGTATGTACGGGCGTCGACATTATCAAGGGCGTTGGTAACTCCATCAAGCTTGCCCCAGAAGTCTTCGTTGAAAATATGTTCGGAGTCGGCGCCAACTCGTTCTTTCAAGGCGGTAATCTTTCCCTTAAGGTCAGGATTCATTGCCTGAACGGCGGTAGCGGCACAGTCACTCTTCAGTTTTCCGACATCAGTAGTACGGAAGAGGAACTGTCGGTTAAGGTTGCTTTTTTCAATTTGGTCCATATCCGTGACGGTGATCTGACCCCCGGGACCCGTGCTGAGACCGATCATGGCCCAGTTCTTGAGCATCTCACAACCGATTGCACCAGCTCCAACAAGGAACTCGTTGATGTTTGCCAGTTTATCTTGGAATTCCTGGCCGAAAACAGCGATTTGACCGTCATATCTTGAGTTTCTTGGAGCACAGAGTTCCTCAGATCTCTTGACTCTGGTTGGAAGTGACTCCAGGGAGTCGAAATACATCCACTGCACAATTGGGTTGAACTTGCCGGAGACAGCTTTCAAGACTTCCTGGGCCGCCAGTCCACCGAAGAAAGCAGCCATGGGGGACAGGTCTCCACGAGCCTGGTAACTCAATTCACGAATAAGTTTCTCGTCAATCTCAACCTTATCCTCGCCTTCGCCAGCAAGCTTCTGGACAAGAGCAATGACCTCCTTTGCATCTCCTTCGTGATGAGGTCGGGGAAGTTGATTCTTGTGAGTTTCGGCGAACATGTGCAGCGCCTGGACACCAAGATGGATCTGCGCTGGTCTGTCGAATTTGGCAAAATCAGAGATGACAAGTTCTGGCTTCTTAAGTTGTTCACTGAACGGCTGGAAGTCAATGAACTTAGGCATCTTAACCTGAGTATAACGGCCGCCACTTTGATAAGTTCCGAGTCCGCTCACGTCTCCAATGGAGAAGGTAAATGGTCCCTTGACTGTAACCTTCCTAGGCTCGGAGTTATTGAGGGCTTCCATTCCACGAACTTCAGTGAAAGTGACATAATCTCCATCTTCAAATCCGTGTCTGGTATCATCAAGAGCAGAGACCAGCCCTTCCTCGTTGATTCCGGCGACGATTCCAGTCAATGGATTCTCGCCTGTAGCATCTCCGACTGTGAAGTTCTTGCCAAAGTCGGTGAAGATATAACCGAACAGACCAAATGTATCGACAATAACCACATATATCCCATTCTCATGGCAGAATTCGGCAATTAATTTTTGATCTTTGAGAGTTGTGCTAGTAAGAACGACGATCTGGAATCCCTTTAACTTCTCAAGGTCCTCAGTAAGGCTCTGCCCAGGGAGAACAGAAACTGGAGTATAAGCGTTGAGCTCTGCAACACGGGGAGCCGTAACTTCAGCTCGAGGTTTGCCAATATCCTCTGGCGTAAGGAAGAATTGCGAGGAGAGGTCGGAGATGGCGGCAGGTGCGGGGTCGAATAGGGTTAGTGATTTAACGCCAGCCAGGGTGATGTTCTTAGCTATTATGTTAGTTTCCCAGTTAGTTGTATGCACTTAAAGATCTGAATCCTGAGAATACACACCTATCTCAACACCGAGACCTCTTAGACCGACGATGAGAACGTTTGATGAACCCATCCGCTTCATAGCTTCGTGTCCAAGAACATATCTAACAGCATGGTAAGTCTAGTCCTTCTCAAAACCAGCAAAATAAACACCTACAGCTGTCTGCTATAGAGTGATTCATCGATCTCTCCATGTTTGACCTTCTCCACCAGCTCCGGGCTATCCACCTGCATCTTGGTGTCCTGTAGATAGAGTAAAACGTGTTAGTTGGAAACGTGAAGGACGAGAAACGTAGCAGAAGCTGCAGAAGTTGTAGCAGCAGCAGGATATGTAATATATGCCAGCATTCCAGTAATACCACAACCCAGAGGGGAATGATAAGCATGGATAAGGGAGCTCACAGTCATGATTTTCTTGTCGTTTCGATCTACTTGACTGTTGGAGGCCTTGCGTTTCCGAATTTCCAGGTCACTAGCGCGAGAGGAAATTGTGAAAGATGAGGGTGAAAGCCTTGCCAGAAAGCAAGGCCTTCTATATGGCTTTAGAAGTGGGAGATGAAGGCCTTCACGGCGTCCCTCTGCGGGTGTCTGCAGAGATGCGGGGAGGTTGGAAGTAGTAGTAGCTGGTAAGCAGCTGGAACCTCAAACTACCGGCTCGAGAAGAGGTTCTTTTATAAGGGAAAAGTAAGCAGCAGAGTGAAAAACACAGCTGTAATATCTCCTGCAGCGCCGAGCGAGCGTCTGTTGTCTTCCTGATATTCAGCGAGTTGATGTTTCTTTTCTGTTGTTTCTTCGACTTTCGCCGGGCTTTTGATGACGATGCTGAGTCAGCAAGGCAGAAGTTGGAAAATCAAGAAAGAACAAAGTCGATATCGACTTTCGGAGAGAGAGACAAGGACGAGACGATGGGATGACTGGTACATGGCGGTCTTTATCAGGGTCCTTAGGAAGCTGATCGGCTGCTTTATGCCACATTCAGCAGTCAAGGTAGCCCGGAAAGAGCATGGCTAAGGAGGCCGTAACTGGAGCAGTTCGATGGCCCTTGATACCCTATTCGACTACTCCACACCGTGGATATAACATGTTGAAAATGCTATTATCTATAGCCTGCTTGTTGTTGATAGGCTGCTCCGCTTGCATCTGGTATATACCATTCCGGCTGTAAGAAGCTGACCGGCGTTTAAACCACGACACGAATGATATACCGGCACCGAGCCAGAAGTGATTTGAACTGAGCGTTAGTTACTGACAGCCATGTATTACCGCGCCCCCAGGGATATTATATCATCTGCGACTGCAGCAGATGTCAGTCCAGTTCGATATTGGGAAGTCATGCGGCTCTCTATTCTGGGCTATCATATATTGATCCACGTTACTACATACTTTTGTGCATTTACCTGACTCAAAAATATTCTTATCTTCCTGCTCTTCGTAATCATTCTAGCTGAGCAAAGTATTACAATTTATTCTACTATCATGTTGTGCTTGATGTCGCTGAACTATTTATATTTGCGGCTAAAAATAAGCTTTACGCGCTTTATTCTTATTGTTGGACCAAAAAGCGACAACAACGCCAAATACAAACAAGATACAGCTCCAACACCCTTCGGCCACATCGCAAGAAATGCGAATATAGGATCTCTGGAATACTCCTGGATGTGTCGATTCGAGCTTCTGGGCTGCTGTATTTTGTTTTGGCACCGTTTGAAGTCGGCGTGGAGAGACGAGGTGCCTCCAAGGTACTATCGCCACATTAATACTTCTCCTGCTAGATAAATAGTGATTCATCCCACAGCTAACTCCCATCACTCATCAGGCCTAAGGATTTCCCGGATGCAGAATGCTCCACGAGATCCTCCTCTCCCTGTCCGGTCAGCCGTCCCCTATCTTCGAGCAGTCAGCGAAGGACCGTGGAGCTTCCCAAGATGGTTTTCCACTCCTCTCGCCCCAAGAAAAGGCGCTGCTCGAACCAATTGCGCGTCTAAGCCAACTTCATAGCCTGTTGAGAGCACACGCGGAGCTTATATCTTCCTCTCACCCATCCACCGTCTGCCGTGCCGCCTCCACGACCATATCTACGGAGTATCTGGGAAATTTTCAGGAAAAGATACTGGAGGTGGAACAGGCAATACTTGGGAGAGATGCAGGCTATGTCGGCGGTTATGGGATAGTACCACTCTCCACTATCGTGGGAGAGTTTTATCCTTGGGTACGAAAGCTAGAGTGGCTTTGGGAGACTTCGCAATATATGCTCCCGTTTGTGGACAAGGACACAAAGTCGAAGGGCACACCCGCTGGAAAGGGATGTACTGGAGCTGCTCTCCTCGACTATCTTCGAACGGAGTCACAGACTGGATACACGGATGTGGAGGAGATATCTCTTGGCCTTATCAAAGCTGCCGAAACAGCCTGGATGCGACAACTCTCCGTTTTCATACTATATGGACAACTTCCATCTCTAGGACGAGAGGATTTCTTCATTCAGGAAAAGCCGTCGATTGGTGATCGGCGCACTAATATGGCAGACTTTATACTTCGCCCTGAGCTCGTTCCCAAATTTGTGTCACGTCCGACAGCTACCTCCATCTTGTTCGTTGGACGATCCTTAAGTCACATACGTGCTCGAGGAAAGTTCCCGGCCGGTGAGGAAGCGAAGCATTCATCTTCTCAAATGACACTTCACGGGGAATTCATCCGATGTCTCTCCTCGTTATCATCCCCCATATCAATGAACAACCTGGCTAACGCGGTCTCAGAAATACGACTTGCGCTTTCTCATACAGTTCTCTCGCAACTTCTGCCGCTACATAAAATAATGGAGGTGCTATCATTACTGCACAACTTTCTCTTGCTCGGAAGAGGAGAATTTGCCATGGCTCTTGTGTCCCATGCGGATGAGAGGATATCAACCAAACACAAACGAACCTACCAGGCTACCTCGATAGAAGAAACTATGGATGTCCTAACCCTCAAGGAAAGTGAAGTGTCAACGGTGCTTACCCAAACATGGACAGAATTATACTCAATTCCCAACGCCGAAGACCCAGTGGATGATGAGCTGGATTTAGCCCGATCTCTGTTGCGACTTTCAATAGAGAAGGACTCGTCGATAAGCAAGGATATGAAATCTGCGAACCAGGCCCTTTCATACATATCCGATGTTAACTTTTCTGACATTTTACTCGGCTCCCCAACAACCTTATCTCTCCATGTCAACCCACCCCTGGACCTTTTCCTTGCTCAATCGGATATGATCATCTATTCCAAGATCCATTCGTATCTGCTAGGTATCCGTCGCGGACAAATGCGACTTGGTGACTTATGGAAACGAACCTCCCTTAGACGGGTTCACCCTTCGCCATGGGGCCCACCAATGAGCAACAAACCTGGCGGTCAGGCAAACCTCAAGGTGGGCAGAGAAAGACAGAAGAAACGAGCTGCTTTGATGCGTCGCGTTTGGGCTTCTGGAAGTGCAGCCTTGTTTGTCTTCTCGGAGCTCGGTAGCTACCTCCAGGGAGAGGTAATCAGTAGTTCATGGCGTCATTTCAATGCCTGGTTAAATGGTGGCCGCCCTCAAAGTTCATACGGACAAGGCTCTCGGCCCGGAACTGCCTCCTCATCTACTACCTTTTATCATTCACATGATCCCGAAACAATAAACATTGCGCATCGCACCTATCTTAGCCACCTAATTCAATCCCTTTTCCTGACAGATGTCCCATTTACCCGCACTTTACGGTCCCTTATCTCGCATGTCGACCGCTTTGTCTCCCTCCTTGGCCAATTGCAAACAATTCAGCAGAATCTGGACCTTGAGACAGACCAAGGTGTCTTTGACTCGCTACAAGACTACGCTCAAGATGAGACTGAAGTATGGGCTGAAGTATCGGCTGCACGTACCGATTTGGAAAGCTCCATGACAGAACTGATTGCTAGGTTACGTGATATAGATGATCACCGTACTACAAAAGGAGCTACCTCACTTGATATCAGCACTAGGCATTCACCCCCAGAATTTCGTTGGGTCAAAGGGAACGACGAGACAATGCGTGGCAGGCTTGATAATAATGTTTTTGTCCCGTGGAGAGCTGCGGGTGTAGATCGACTGCTTATGAGGCTTGAATTCGGCGGGGCTAGTGCTGAGGATCATGGCGGAGATTCACTCGATTTTGGTGGAAATACGGTATTTGCGGAATAGGGACTCAGTGTCATGGCTATAGAATCGTGTATTTGGCGTCTTATAAAGGGGGAAGGAAGGGAGGAAAGGTATTCCAGACGGCGGATTATAGTCTACGTGGTACGAATGAAACATGAATTACGGAGTACTTGATAGCCACTTCTATTCATCCTCTTTCTACACATCGATAAAGATAATAAAGAGGGCAAGTGTAGAGCTGAGCTCATGCATAAAACGAAGAAAGGATAATCATAATCGTGATATTTGGGTATCTGAAACGCTTGATCTTTCAAGATGATTCGCAATATATAAAGAAAACGCAGAAATGGGCGGTTTACATAATATATACAAAGCGAGGCCGAGATGTCTTCTCCATAGCAGCCGGCGACTTTGAAACACCGGGTCCCATAAGCCTTTCAGTTGCTCCGTCCCGCTCTTGAGTACGGAGCATAGCATCCTCTTCACTATCGGTTTCTCTAACTGCTGACGCAACACCCACTGCATCAGCTAGGGCCCGCCTGTTTTCCCGCTGAAGTAGGACTCTGAGGGAAAATGCAAGGATTGCAACTAGGAACATGAATAAGGAGCACACTATCATGCCCTTGATATACCATGGCCCATCAGTATCAGGGTACAGTCTTGTACCGATCAGGGGTCCGCACTGGCCGACAATATTGAGTATAGCCATGCCGGTACCTTTACCTTCGCCTGCAGGTTTATTATCCATGGTCCAGGCTATGATGATAGTGATGGCGGAGAAGAAACCGGCCGCAGCGGGGTAAAGGCATATATATCTGATCAGGATATGGACTGAAGTAGGAAGGTGGGAGTGGAAGTAACCTGTGAGGGCGATAGTGAGGTATGTAGCTGATGAGATAAGGGCGAGAATGATGAGATAGAAACTGCGGCTCCGGTGGCGGTCTGATAGAGATGCAGTTATCAAGACTACTATGAAGGCGAACAGGTAAGGAGGTGCGGAGAGAGCTTGAGATGTAAGCTTTGAGTACCCCATGCTAGATATTATTAGCAGTAGTCTCTTGTATACTCAGGGGTATCTGACATACTCATGTAATATGGTCGGCAAGAAGACTGGGAGAGAGCTGAATGCCACATTGCAGCTGAGAAACATGAACTGCTTTGAGGTCAGGAGAGTGCCATACAATGGGGATATTGGTATGTTAACATACTGCGGTAAGGTAAGACTTGGGATCACACAGCGTTCTACCAACTTCTCCCCAATCAAATCTAGTCTTCTTGATCTCATGCTTCGGCTTTCCAGCCTTCAGTCTCAATTTAGCAACCTTCCGCTCTCTGGGTGTAAGATATTTCGCCTTTCCGGGACCATCAGGGATATAGGACCAGGCAATGAACGCGACAATGATGCTGGGAAACCCTTCGTAGAGGAACAATGCACGCCACGGAGCTATTGGTCCGTTTTCGCTTACCCACACGATGAACCAGGCTAAGGATCCGGCAAAAGAGGTTGCTAGGGGAGCAGCGCATAATATCATCCCTGTGCGAAAAGCAAGTTCTTCACGCTTATAAAAGAAAGATAGGAAAAACGGAACACCTGGTGAAAAGGCAGCTTCCGAGACACCGATTAGAGCTCTCAGGAAGACGAGCTGCCAGAACGATGTAACTAGACACTGCATTGAGGCAAGGACTCCCCAGGAGAAGACACATATGGGGATGTAAATGTGCGCTGGAAGGATCTTGTACATCAGAGTCATCCATTCGAAGCATATGTAGGTGATATAAAAGGCTGTGAGAGCCCATTCGTACTGGCCGGAAGAAAGATTCAGGTCGTCCATAAGCCCTGCGATTCGCGCATTTCCAATATCTACCACATACATCGATTAGTCCATATACCGACATCCCAGCGTAAAAAGAAGACTCACTTGACCGGTCAAGGAACGAGAGCAGATATAGAAATGCCAGGAACATGGTCAATCGTCTATCGAATTTCCTCACAACTTGTCTCTCCTCTTCGATTGTATATGAATTCAACGAATATGAAGCCATCTCGAGATCATCTCCCATCTCACGCCCCGGGTTATCCCTATATCGTTCATTCACGGAACGATCCAGCTCGTTATCATCTCCGTCTCGTTCATCGTCCGCTTCGTCTTCTCGAGAAGTTGAAATGCCTGGTCTATCATCTTCGTTCGGTATATCTGTCTCCAACCGTTTTAAACCCACTCCACGCCCTGACAGGCTGTTGGAGGTAACATCTTCATTTGCCCAGCCCGTCGAACTCGAGCCGGGGGTTAGCATTGACTCGGAGAGAATGTCATCAGTACGGGTGCCCTCGATGTGCGACGGAATCGCCAAGGGTCGAGTGGATTTGGTCATGTTGATATCGCCTCCAGCTCCGCCATGCAGGACGTTCGACTCATCGACATAGACACTGCGTATCCGGCTCAGTCAGTCATGTACTCCGCAACATACATCCCCTTCTCGCACGGCCGAATGGGGGTGAAAGATAGTATAAATACTTTGGCGGTTTGATAGTTCAACTACTCCGTATTGTCTATATTTTTAGCTAACTAGCCCGAAATAACTAGCCTCATGTGACTCGTTGATCCCTCTGCCTGTCTTCGATTTTGGTGCCTACGGCCTTGCACGCCGCATTTCGGAGTTAACGAAAAGGCAATGTATGCATCGCGATTGGAAGGCTGGAGGCAGAAAGGGTCAAAGGACGAGAAGGCGACTTGCTCGGCTGTTCGGCGTCTTCGGCTCGGGGCACAGTTTGGGGTCAAGCAGAGTCAAAAGGGGAAAAGGCTGACTGAAGGAAGAATTGCTCAGTACTTCGATATGGAATGCTAGTTTGCGCTATCACTTGCTGGGCTGAGCAGTCAGCTAACCACCAGACTTGATCACCAGGAGCGTCATCATCTCCATCCTGCAGTGTGACGCATGAGCAGCCGGACCCCCTATCATGCATCAAGTTGCCCATTCCAGCCTGGTGTTAAGGTGTCTCCATTACCCCATCACCATACATGCATAATTCAATAACTAATTCTGCCCCTCCGTTGATCACTGACTTAAGAAAGAATCATGGTAGTTGTCTATTTGACAATCTCTCCTAGTTGGCCCTGTCTCGGGGAAGCATGTCGGTTGCGTCCGTAGGGCCTCAGGGTGAAGTGCCTCCACTATGGCCGGTAGCAGTCGGCCTGTCCACGGACTCCCCGTCGACGTCGGCGTGAAACACGCGGTTTGTCCACAGAAGTTGAACACCCACTGCTACTACTACTACGGCGGGCCGAGTAGCCGACCGTTCCCTTGTCTGTCATATCAAGTGACCGCTTTTTCCCTCTGTTTATCTCCCCCATCTCGCGTTGAGCCATTCTGGAGGCTTGTTTCAGTACGGGGATCATGTAGTGCGTTGGGTCATGATCACGAAGATGACGAAGTAGGTTCTCTGCGCTGTCACCCACGAGTTTTACCGTCTTTGTGCTCTTAATTCTGGCATGCTCAAGCTGAGCCGTGGCGAAAGCTATAAACATATTGGGAAGGCTTTGATGCAACTCTCGGATGGAAGCACTAGGAGGCGGCGTCAAGGGATCAGAAGTCCCTTGTTGCTGGTGACTACTCTGCTTGCTCCCGAAAACTGGCGTCGTGGCATCGGTCAGAGCGTTGTCAAGGGCTGTTTCCTTTCTCCATCCAGTAACTATCAAAGTCAGTTTTTGCTGTGCTTTCAATGGGTGTACTACGGTTGATGTTGAACATACCATGTCCAAGAATAGCGCGTAGAGCAATATTCTTGCTAAACAACGCGTCCAGTCTTCCCATATCATCGTCCTTCCTTATACCCAATATCTCATCTTTGAACAGTTCGATGGCTCCGAAGTGAGACAAACTCTTCCCGTTGTTGGTGAGTATTAACAATGCCTTGTCGTATACTGTGATTTGGCCATCCTCGAAGCTTTGAGAGCGCGTTTTGATCAGGCCAATATGGTATTCGAACACATGGTTAAAGAGCTCCCAGTACCCAGGAGTCTTTGACAGGTGGATGACTGTTCTGGGTGTCTTGATGGCCTGATATTTGTGAACAAGGATACATACTTCCTTGTCAAGACTAGTTAGTCTATTATCCTCAGGCTTGATGCATTCAAAAGACATGTTTGATAGTCCAGTTAATATCAATGCAAATCTGCTTTCAGGATATGGTACAAGGGGATATCAGGAGGGATTGTTGAGTGTGTTTGCTTGAGTAGGCTGCTAGTTAAAATGGTCTGTAAGGGACAATTTGAACCCCAGGCGGGTAGATAGGATGCGGGAAGTTCCGTCAACTCACTGGTTTCCTGGGGAATCACATATATATACTGCCAAAATAGTTCAAAAGAGTAAACATACTGGTATTATGTATAAAGTCCAAATACTAAACTACAACAGAGTCAAGTACAAGCCCCAGGCTCCTGACTAGGCTATTAAGGCAGGGAAACAGCACTAATGACTGTAGAGTATATATAAACAGTGCCAAGGAAATAAGGAAAAACCAATCATCACGTAGCAATCATCATAAACCAAAAGGGAAAAAACCAAAATTGAAAAGGGAAGAAGAGCAAAGTCTTCTAGTTTCTCTCGTCCCAGAGGCGTTCGATCTCCTTGACTAGGACAGAGACATCGCTTCTCTCGTTGCCTTCACCACAGTCCGTCCACTGACCGCCGTCACGGATGCACCAGAACTTATTGTCCACTCTGACGGTACAGCTCTTTGTGACGCCGACATTTGCGCTGTGCTGGAAGCTCTTCCTCATCAGAGCAAGGCCGCTTGGTCCATGGTCACAGTCCTCGTGGCCATCACGGGCTTCATCACCCTCATCGCTCTGGCGACTGGCACACTTGTTCAGGGCGTTGAAGCTGATTCCGTACTCAAGTGCGCAGTCCTGGACTAGAGCGCGGTCAGGGATATCTTGGTATTCAGATATCATGCAGTTGGCGAAACCAAGATATCGAACAACGGGCGTTGTTTCGTAGTTGGGGCAGGACTTGGATTCCGGCGAAGAAGAGGAGCTGGCGACAAGTGGTGGGTACGGAAGGTTGGCTGCGCAGAGCATCAGAATGTTACCTACACACTCAGGTGGGCCGTGGCGGCAGGATACAGCAGATGAGTCTTTTGAGGCTCTAAATAAGTGGATAAGTATATGTATAGACGCCGTGGAATGAGAAAGACTTACGATCCGATGAAAGAGAGCTTGAAGTCGACTTTCCGGTGAACCTGCTCCATGGCCGGCACCACTAGGTCATGCAGACATGACTGCGCATCCGGACACTTGCTCATAATATGTGCTTCAAATGGTACCTTCTTCGAGTTGTCTGGATCTGTGGTGGTGGAGGCATGCTTGTCATGTCTCGAGGATGCTGCATCCTTCACAGCATCGATGTACTTCTGCGGGAAGTGAGGTTTATGGAGCACAACAAAGACCGTCAAGCACAGAAACACGGCTATCAAGCAGTGTCTGGCAAAGTTCTTTGCCTTGGAGCTCTTCTGGCCGTCCTGCGGGTGAGAAACAGGCGGCGGGATAGTGTCATACTTCTCCTTCATATCGAACATAGCACTGATTTTCGAAGTGTTGCTATCTGCTAGTGAGTCAGCAAGGCCCTATACAGCTGTATCACAAAAACATCCTCGTCTTCATCGCCCGTCTATATATAATAATATCCTGGCTGATATTGAACTGTCCATCATTTCAGCTTCGTTGACGCCGTCGACCGTCGCTTTTTCGACGTTGGTTTTGGGATGATTATGTAATTGTCACACGTGATACCAGCAAAAGCCTCACTCTTTGTTGTTGGTGAAGTAGAACGAGGTGAAAATGAAGCTACGAAGACAACGATAGAGCGGGAGAGGAGAGAGTGAGAGGTGCGCGGGCGAAGATGAAGGATCAAGGGATAAAGGAAGAGCCTTTGCTTGACGCTCTCGAAAGAGATACCAACTCCGAAGGCAAAGCTGCAGTTTGATACGGATATTTACTCCTGCATAGCGGGTGCGTCAAATAGCCAGCCAAACAGCCAATTTAGCAAACATTTCCGATCCCTGCAAAGAGCATGAGAAAAGGCCATATCAATACTACGTTGTAGGTTTGTTGGTTGCCTCTTGACGGTTGACCTGGCTTGGAAGTGAAGAAAGGTGCCAGAAGAAACCCTGGGTTTCTCGTCTCCTCGCCTCTGCTTCCAGCATTACGTAGCTACCCTGCCGAGTTTCAAGGCGCTGTGATATGTGGAGATCTCGTTGTTCTGGAAGCCCTGGCATCGTATTAGAAAGTCCTTAGCCAGACAAGGGCTGTCCATGCCCAGGAACACCTCTTCCTGCCTCATTTGGCCCCCAACCAGGGATACGGGTGACCGGGCAGGCCCAGCTTAGGAATTTAGCGGATATATACGATGATGTTAGGAAGAGGCCAGGCAGAAGGGCGATGTGCAAGCAGCAGAATGATGCAACTGCGACAACAGACCCGTGTGGACCGTGAATGGCATGAAAATGCAACATCTTCCAGACCGGACGGGTGGTGGTTCCGCTTATCAGGAGAAGATGATGCGGCCATAGTTAAGCTTCCAGATCACTATCCAGGACTGACAGGCATCAGACACAGCGTTGCATCAATCCTTCCGCAGAATCCGCCTTAGCAAGTCCGTATCTTTATCTCGTAGGTAACGGAGATAGCTAGACGAGATTGGTTTTGATCCCGATATATCCAGCCTTCCTTGAGCAGAGTTCCATCTAGAGGAATTGAAAAAAAAAAAAAAAAAAAAAAAAAAAAAAAAAAAAAAAAAAAAAAAAAAAAAAAAAAAATGTCTGAGTAGAGACCGTCTTGGCCGAATATTGTCTCCTCAATCCCGGCCGCTGTGGCTCCAGTGCATAGCATCTTAAGAGACATTGCTTAATGGGATATCCCTGCTTGATGTCCGCCGCTAAGGCACAGAAGCAAACCGTTATCCCACTGTAGTTCGCGGGTAACTAAGTATCAAGACGTCAGTTACGGCTAAAGGGAGAGTGCTCAATATCTCGGTGGGGAGTTTGATATCTACTGGTTATACAATGCATCCCAGCAGTTGATCCACCCCTGACATCGCGATATGACTCGCACATCAACTCGTTGCCAAAAAAGAATAGATCCCTGAAGCGAAGATCCCTGAAGCGATATCGATGGTGGAAATGAGCAGGTCTTTGCATTGTATCTTCCCTGTCAAGACCACCCTAGTTAACTACGTAGTTAACTGCTTGTTTGGCTGGCCGTTTAAAGGGGGTTCGTCGCCTAGTTATTACCATCCATCACCATCGCCTCCAGCACTGCCACCAGGACCACCAGAGGGCAGCCAAAGCACTCAGCATACAGGCAGCCGATAGCATCGTATCGAGCCTTCGCAGTTCTTCCGTGACTCCATACCTCGGTTTTCACCCCGCTAACCAGGTTAACTCGTTATCCTGTCAATAACTAAGCAACGTCGAGCGGTTCCTGGTCCGGGCAATATTCTATATTCACTTCGGCCGTGGCAGGGTCACATCGCTATTTTATCCCGAGAGTCATACGGAAATATTCCCTTCATCGCAGGTTTCCACGTCTCAGGTTATTAAAGGGGGCCTGTTGTCTGGGTTTGTGAAGTCTGCGGTTCGTTTGCACGTTGGTTGTCAAACATATGTACTGGTCTGACGTGTATGGGTGTGCTCTAGTTAGTTATTTGCCTTCTATAACTATCTCCAGTCTCTCCACGGGTTACAGGCTACGATCTAGATCGATCAATCGCTTGATAACGCCTCATCCTACCTTATCTTCGCCAGCGAATACCCTCTAGCGTACAAGCGACGGTGGCAGCTCGGAGACCGTTTTCCCCTCGAAGCGAGCCAGCAGTTGACTAACTAGTTAACGGGACCGTCCTTGATCTCTCCGTATAAGATCGTATACTCCAGGCCAACCTCCGTATCAGCACCGCACCTCCTAGATCGTCACCCGGTAGCTCGATAATGACGTCCACCATGTCTGTACACAGCATCGAAGAGGACGAAAGTGACCACAATGCTGCCGTTGAGCCGTTCGAGGGGGAAGACGAAGATGCCAACGGCGAGCCCGGACTGGACCTGCAGGCCGACAAGGAGCAATTGATGCATGATGAGACAATAGACAACTTCCTTGCACCCCTCGCCGTCAACGATGCCCGCCTGTACCAGCTGGGATGCCGCTTCTCCCAGCTGTACCTCGAACTCGCGCGCACTTCTGACCAGCAATTCTTACCCACGCCCGTGACCCGGCTGCCAAACGGCCAGGAGACGGGACGATACCTAGCCATAGACGTTGGTGGGAGCAATCTCAGGGTCGCCTTTATCGAACTACTCGGTGCTGCCGCCGACGACCTGGAAAACAGCAGCGCCAGCAGCAGCAACGGGCATCCGGGCAGCGAAACCGTCTCCAACAAGGAAAAGTCACGTGATACACTCCGGAAGGCGCAGAGGCATCGGGTGCGCCGGACGCTGGAGAAAGCATGGCCGATAGCTGAGCATCTCAAGATGGACAAGGCCGAGGATCTCTTCCTATGGATTGGGGACTGCATGGCCGAGGTGGTAGCAGACAGCCTAGCTACCGATGCGGACATCCAGGCTGCCCCTGAGGAGCTTGAGATGGGCATCACCTTCAGTTTTCCCATGATGTATGTATAAATCTACTTGATAAAATAGAGAATATAATATGCGCGGCTGCTAGAGCCTGGCTAACTCCCTGGATAGGCAAGATTCGCTGGCAGAGGCTACGTTGATGCCCATGGGCAAAGGCTTCGCAATCACATCGGATCTAAACCTGGGTAAGATATTACTGGCGGGCTATGACAGACATACCCGACGTCCATACGGCTCTGATGAACCCTCTACCAAACGACGGAGGAGATTCCCACTACCAAAACTGAAAATTGCAGCCATCACCAACGATACAGTTGCTACTCTTGCTTCACTGGCCTACATGGTTAAGTCTCTACCCAACAGCCGAGTTGCCATGGGTCTCATCGTGGGGACAGGATGCAATGCCACAATACCAATGAAACTGACAGATCTACACGAGTCTAAGGCTAAATGTGTCTCCGCACAGCAGCCTGATGCGACAGAGACAGTGGTCAACACAGAGTTCACCCTTGGCGGCGCAGCTCCCCCCTTACGAGAGCTGAAGTTCACTACCAAATGGGATGTTCAACTCGACGAGCAGTGTGCTCGACCTGGATTTCAGCCATTTGAGTATATGACTGGAGGACGATACATTGGCGAACTAGTCAGGCTCGTTTTCTACGACTATCTAACATCAGTGCTCAAGCTGTCGCCTAAGTCACTACCCGCGAATCTCATACAAGGGTACGCTCTATCGACTGGCTACCTATCCAATCACATAGCCCCCACGCATACCGACCAGGATCTAGTAGCAAAGCTCAAATCTACCCTACCTCCCCCGGAATCAAGCAGCTGGAACTGGGACATCTACACTGCCCGGGCATTCCGGAAAACAGCCAGGATAGTACAGACACGCTCTGCAGGACTCGTTGCAGCAGCTGTTGTCGGTCTTCTAGCATGTCAAAAGGAGATTCAACTACGCTCTGATGGTGCTACTAACCCTAGACGATCTACCAATATTATAGTCCCGTCGTTTAACAATTCAACAGATACCATCACAAGCGTGTATAGACCCGCATCTACCACGCCACAGGACCCTTCTACCCCGGGAATGGACTCGCCGCCGTCCGGTTGGCAATCTGGCCCTGAGGAGTTGGTGGTTGCTTACACCGGCGGTATTATCCAACACTACCCAAATTTCAAGGAGACGTGCCAGGGCTTCATCGACCGTCTTGTTATATGGGACGGCCCACAGGAGAGTGGTAAATCTGTGTTTCTCCGAGAAGCTTCTGACGGAGGCATCATTGGTGCAGGTGTCTTGGCTGGCATGGTATCAAGTGCATGAGCGTATGTTCTTGGTTGTCTACTTTCTTTTCTTGTCCCCTGAAACGTCCATGCTTTACGACTTACAACTTGAAATGTCTTGATGTCTCTTTCCCACGATATACATTATTATGTTTCTTTTCAACGAAATGGAAAAAATAGATAGGTTGGGGTTGACATATGTTTGCCTTGCTCGTTTGCAATAAAGCGATATTAACCACAAGTTAATACTACCTGCTTGGTTATCTATCAATTGGAGACCCCCTTGAAATGGCTGAAAAAGACTGAAGACTGGCCAATTTAGGCTCAGTTATCCCGAAATACTGTGATTTCTAGTTCCTATCTGGTCTAGAAAGTTATCCTTATAGGTCTTTTATCATGCAAATGCTCATCACCAGGATGCTGTTGCATAAGCCCCCCCCCCCCCCCCCCCTTCTCCCTTCTGCCCCTTTTCCATAATAACAACCGCCATTGGATCCATATGTCTTCTAGCCCAATGCCATAACTAAGTGTGGCGGTGCAACCATGTACGATGGTGTGGAAGGTCTTAGCCATCGACTCCTTGGGGGCATTAGTTGCACATTGATGATGGCGCGGCACCGGCCTGAGTAATGCCAGGGACAGGATATACCCCGATAGGGTTCGCATGGCTAGGACTAGAGCTGGAAACGCCGTTTGTCTGTCTGTTATGCTCTCGCTTCACCGTTGCTAGGGTCGTCGCCGACATGGTAGATTTAGGGGTAATCTGAGTCCGAGAAGTTGGATCTGAGATTGATATCATAGATGTCGTCATGGTATAACCCGCATGTCTTGCCTGTCTTCTTCGTCTGAGATAAGCCTGAGTAGCCCTGGGAGCCAGGGTAGATGCCGACAGGGTAGATGCCGACAGGGTAGATGCCGACATCGTGCTGGGTTCAGGAATCAGTCGAGTGAGAGAGGTCGGATCCAGAGTTGAAGCCTCAATCAGAGTCGACGGAACTTGCTCAGAGCTCGTTATTTGAGAGGTTGCACGCGCCATGATGGATGCGGATGACAAGGTGGACTCAGGGATCATCTGGATGGATGAATCCCCTCGCACCCGGAGAATGGTAACACTTGGTTCAGGGTCCAAAGTCTTTGGTTCATCTTCTCCTGGCATATCTGGCAAGCCTGTAATCACTGGAGACTCCTCGCCATTTTCATCGTCTCCATTCTCATCGTCATTATCATCACCATCACCGGGTGCTGGGTATGCCGTTTCTGATGGCGTAGGGCCTAGGCTGAATGAGCCGGAGACAAGAAGGATAGGAGCACCTGATGGATAAGGCTGGATCTCGGGAACAGTTGATTGTGGTAGCAGTTGTCCGGTAGTGACCGAGCTATAGGGCTGTGTCAACTCTGATATTTCACCAAATTCAGGGGCAAGAGTTTAGGTACCTGAGGATGGCCACAGCTAACGCGAACATAAAAGAGGACTGCATGGCTCTTGTGGCTCAGATTTCTTTCTGTTTCTATATTTTGGTGTATAGAATGCTTCTATCAAACTGGTATCTTTCGATGATTTATATATTGAAGCTGTCTCGGCTACTATTATCCCATCTCAAATACTATAGATGTCGGGTTCAAGCTTGCAACCCCAGAACCATGTCAGTTTTCTGTCTATCGCGACATATACTTCTTTGTTCCTCATCCTTGAGTGTTATGCGAACTCCTCGATCACGAAATACAAAATGTCCATGATGTTTCATACATGCTTCTTACTATGGCGTACAGAGATTTGAACTACACTTCATAGTGCGTCCTCCCCACAACAGAGGAACATTAGCTTAGAGATTACTGGTAGTGGGTCATAGTGGTGGCCTAGATGCTAACGCCTGTTACGCCAGTTCCCGTCTTCTTGCTGCTGAAACAAATTCTCAATGGCAATCGTTTCCGTGAACGGAGTTGTCAAACTTGTATTTCCTTGAGACTAACAACTATAACTATTGAGTTGGAGATGATGCAAGTTCCCGATGGCGTTTTGTCTGTGGCTGCCGATCTGTGTCAATCGATGAGTTCTGTATACTCCGTACATTGTATATACTATGGCCACATATATTTGGAAAACAATTCCATCATTGATATCGTTAATTGTTGGCAGCTATCTGATCTAGGCTAGGGGTAGAATTGGGGGATTAAAAGGCTCATATAAAGCGGTTGAATTAGGAAACAAGAAATAGACTGGGGGCATAACTCGTCGGGCCAAGGAAAAGTCACTTTTTTTATAGCTTTGCTTTTAAGAACCGGTCATCCATATTTCGTTATAATCGTAAAATCAATGTGCGCTTAAGAAGCGGTCAGGGTAGGGCCGAGAGTGGCAGAAGCGCTGCAAGACTTGGTGACGGTTGGGCAAACCGAAGTGCAAGTCGGGCAACCGTAGTTGACGCTGACAGTCTTGGTGGTTGGGCATCTCTTGTCGTGGCAAGGAATGGAGGTGGTAACTGCAACAAAGCAAGGGCCATCACATGGTGGAGTGTAGGTGGCAGGGCAGAAGGCGGCCCTGTAGGAGAGAGTCCTGGTGTAGCACGGCTTTGGGGTGATGACTGGCGCAGGAGAGGCGCTGACAAGGGTGCTATTATACAGTTAGGTGTGTCTAGGAGAGGTATTCATTGCTGTGTTATGTCTTCGTACCTGGCGGCAATGACGCAAACGGCGATGGCCTTGGAGAAGAACATTTTGAATGATTGGGATGAGAGTGAAGTCTCGGTGGTTTTGAGTGAAAAGAAGTGATATAGAATGAAGCTGGAGAGCTTGAGAGAGGAAGAAGTTGCTTTGAATGTCTTTTACTTGCTTGCTGGGTCGTTGTCGTTGTCGTTGTTGTTGCTGTTGGATATTCGAGAACTGAAGGAGAGAGGAGCTCACTTATATAGCTTTTCGACAGCTACACGTGAAGCCACGGATAGACAGTGATCCGAAGAATTTTCTTTCCTTTCTGAAAGAATGCAGAGGTTGAAATTCTTTTTCGCGCTCAGCTCTCGACAACCTGCATATGGTGAATTGCCATGGCAGCTTCTTGCTCGATGGGAGGCAGGAAAATGCATCTACCTCTTTTAGAGTTAACCCAGCATCGATTTTTTTTTAAGTTCAATAATGCAAATCTCCCCTGGATGAAAAAAAAGAATCGATATAAAAAGAAATATACCCCGGTCGCACTCGCACCGCTGATGTGCCACAGCAGGGCGGGGGGCAAATCAAAGTAAAGGTTGAGCGCATAAAGAGCCTGCTCTCCTTTTTTGCAATATATTTCTGCAGGATGTAATTCTCCGTGGTATTTAGAATTGGCAGCATGATCCAGCCTTTCATCAGGATTCATGAACAACCCATGCATGCCAGGGCCGGATGTTTGACGGTTTCCTGGCCAGTGGACCGTTGAGCAGCAGGTATACGGAGCTCTAGAAGCCAGAGAACGCAGTAGCGCTCGACTGAATGGAAATCGATGAGCACAAAACGCACGGGATCGAATCGTCTATCAACAAGGGACCCGGGTATTGTTAAAATCCCGAACATTCCAGAGAGAGACAATGACTGAGCACCATGCGCAATGGTCAAGCAGTGGTATTTGCAATTGGAGCAAGCCACCATCCCTTGGAATTTGAACCTTCCCTGAATATTGCGTCGGCAATTAATATCAACGGCAGCAAAGGCCGGTCGAGACACCCTTGGCTAAAGAGATTTCCAATATACTCCATCCAACGGAGTATACTGTTGCTAGGCGGAAGGAGGAGAAGAGGCTTGACATACCCCTCCACGGACCGGCGCGATGTCATAGCCATGGGTTTCCTATATTTGGAGGTGGACTTCTAATAGCTCATCCATTTCTCCTATATCAGCTATCCTTGCATGTAGCTCGAAATCAGCAGCCGTTGATGGCAGGGAAGTTTATGGATGTGCATATGTACGCTGAAGGCTCGGAAGCGAGAGTCAGCCCATGTCCGCGGATTGGACAGGATTCCATTGCCATTAGGCTATCAAGCTCGCCGTAGTGGCAGAGAACAAATGCCCCATTGAATCCTATTAACTTCTCCGGAGCATTTGACAACGTTGAAATGAAGGTATCCAAATAATCAAAATTTTTCTGATGGGCTTTTCTTTCTACGAAAAAGAAAAAAAAAAAAAAAAGAAAAAAAAATTGATAAACAAATGCCAAGACCTGAGACTTAAAATAGTAATCACGTGAAATCACTTCAAGCCTCATACGTGATTTAATGTCATGTGATGGTGCCTAGCCGGATTCGGATGTTCGATATCGACTTCACTTTTGCGAATGACGGAGAGAGACTTTGAAGAGAACAAGAAGGGCGGGAGACGAGGATAGCTTAGAACGTGCGCCGTTTGACTGGAGAGTGCTCGGCTCTGATACCTCTAAATCGTTCGTTTGTTACTTTTTGGCCGGTGGAGAGTTGGTGGCTACCGCAAAAGGGTGGAAACATGAGTGCTCCCGCTTACTACGAGCTGTACCGGGGCAGCAGGTATATTCACAGCCCACGCTTTTTGGAAGACGCAAGGCTAACATGACTTTACTCTGATCAGCATCGGCCTGTCTCTGACAGATACCCTCGATGATTTGATTAACGAAGGCCGAATCGAACCCCAGCTTGCCATGAAAATATTGTCCAACTTTGACCGCGTCATTACAGAAGTCCTTGCGGACAAAGTGAAGTGCAAGCTCTCCTTCAAGGTATGCATACTGGCAGGCCAGGAAAATGGTCTAAACGAGTGCGAGCCGCCCCATGCTACAGTGGGATAAGGCTACCTGTCGGCAACCATTCGTTTTAACCGTTTCTTTCGCTTGTGGCTGACATGCAGGGGAATACTCCCCGTCACTTTATTGTACAGGGCCATCTCGATACCTATCGTTTCTGCGATGAAGTTTGGACTTTCCTTGTCAAAGACGTCACTTTTAAGCTAGACGACCAGTCTACATTACATGCGCAGAAGGTAAAGATAGTGGGCTGTAACAGCAAGCGACCCGGAGAGGCATGAACGCTTTCACCCGCCAGTCCAATATATTGTGGCATCGTTTTACATTTTATAACGATGGTTGGGTCGTCTATTCTGGGCTGTACTCGTACGTATCACCTTCTCGACGAAATTTGAGCATGAGTCGGGACTTGTGGGAAGGCATTCCATTCCCTGGAGTTTGGGCAAGGATTGGCGTTAGGGGCAACTTCGAGTAGATTTCAAGGATTGACAACGAGATCATAATGACATCGCTTCTGGAGATACTCACGGCTAGTTTGAATACATGAATATCCTCCAATAATGTCTTCTTGCTCCTCCATATATCTTCTACTTCATTGACTCCCTTGGATTTCTAACTGTTCCGATATCCTGGCTGCATGGAGAGTCGAAAATTCAACCTTTTCACGAAATACATTGTACAAATCCCGCCCAAATGACCATGATAGAGTCAAGGCACGCAGAGAGTGGGATGATATTTTCCGGTGAGCAGGGTTCATACAGCTGTCTGTCTAGCTTTTCTGTCCGCCTAACCGTAACTAATATATATAAAACTACAAACGAGCTACAGGGTATTATTGCCAACCATTTCGACGACAAGGGCCATGTGCAATTCATTGCAAAGCCAACGGGGTCCAGTGGCTACTAAGAGTCTTGGAAATCGACAAGGATATGATGCTCCAATTCCATGGAAATATCGGCATGATTTTGTCATCCGAGGGCAATTCTATGCAGCTGAATGGGTCAGAATTTGCACTGCAACCATCTAGTGGTATCCAATCCCAGCGAGGGCAAGCTCCATTTACATCTTCACCAAGTTCCTATGTGAGGTTGCGGTTTCAGGGCAAAGGAACACTATCCACGCACGCGTTAATAATGCTTCCTGCTGAGATACCAGCGACCATTCCTCCGGAGTGTGCGTCCATATCAAAGGTTCGGCGGTATTACCAGTGGCGAAGATCCAATCTTGAAATCGTTGATCAAAGTGAGCGTAAAGGCGTGAGCGATCTGGAACTCGCCTTGGGCATTTGGATGGAGTCCATCGTATCCGGCATCGCAATTACTCATACCACAGCTATAGTGCTCCTGTAGCTCGACCAGATGTATGGGTGATTGCTCAGTACTCCATTGCGGTAGTGCAAGCCGCAGAATGGAATTATACTCGTCCGTGGAAACCGGTAGGTCACCTCTGCCGATGAAGCTGCGCTGTGGGATATTCGCAACAGCAAACTTAAGGTTCGGATTCGCTTTACGGGCGTTTTTTATCAGTCCGTAAAGAGAAGCCACGGCATCCATTGGCTTGCTGAAAAGCCATCCCAGGTCATTGAAGCCGAGCATCAGCAACATCATGTCTGCTGGATGGGCGGATACCACGTCATAAATAAGGTCTTTATCGAACGCTGCCGATCGACCCCAGACAGAAAAGTGATGTCGGTCAAAGTCTGGAGAGACTCCAGGAGCATACCCGCCACTAGTTTTGATGTTGCTTGCTTTGGGAGCCTCCTCTAATTTGTTCAGTGGAGGTGCTGGTGCATCTGGCTCAACAGTGCCTGTATACGGCCCTACAAAAGTGACAGCTATACCCTGAGCTTGAAACCACTGCCATATTCGATAGCGCCATGTCCAGTCACCCTGTTTGCCCTGTGTCATTGAGTCACCCACAAACATTACGCGGAGATCGTCTGGCTGTCGTGTAGTAGATCCCTGGACAACTGAGGAGACAATACTGCTTGAGGAATATTGGTATTGAGACCTCCCTGGCCATCGCGGCGGTGTAGCGCTTAAAAAAGAAACAAGAGCGCACAGTGTGAAGAGGAGAAAGAGAAACTTTGCCATGACTCGCTCCATTATGTTTGGAATGCGAGGCTGAAGACTAATGGTCGAAGGTCTTAAACCCTTCACAATAACCCAGAGTCATATTTATTTCTACCGGTTTCCCCTCTTTGGCAGTGGATAGGAATGCCTATGTAATTTTCGCCTTGCTCTTCATACCAGCCAACACCTGGGATTGCCGTAGAGCACCATCATTGGCCCGGAAATGACTGGAAGCGGCTAACCCTCGATGTAATACTAGAGTAAACGCTGGACAAAGCATGGCGACATATACATTAGGGCGCATAAATCCACCGATGATTCATTTGAATACCCACTGTCCCTGCCTCCTTGTCAACAGGTGCTTCAGCCCGGGCCTATCACTCGTTACCATGTCGATATTAACATGCATATGTAACTGCATTATCGCTAGGAGTGATGCACCGATGTGGCTATTACACCGCTAGAGAAACATTCTCCTCGGCACCTGTGCTGTATACAGTGGCCTTATATCAATCGATATCCACGGAGATTAAACGCTATGGTTTGATGTTTAGCTGTATTCTCAGGTACACAGAAGCTTCGTGGTTAAGTGAGCTCGCTGAGGAACTGCCCAGTGACAGAAATTTCAAGTAGGAGAACTTGGTACAAACCTCGCAGGGTGATCAACAGGGGTCATCTTGGCTATTAAGAGCGGCTAATATAGATCCATTATCTGGCCTATTAACTGCCTTGCTGTCTTCTCTTGCGCTTGATGATTGGATATTCTGTAAACGGATGCAGGGATTGCTGGTATTCGACTGTCTCAGCAATACGGAGCTTGCCTGGCTCCCAAAGAATATCAGCACTCTTGTGGGTTATGGCACAAGCAATTCGCTTATAGGGATCAGTTTTCATTCACAACTCATTCTCAACGGAGTACTCACTTTATTGATTCTCCTCGCTGCTGTACTCTGTGGGCATCAAATCTTTCCACACTGTAGTTTTCTGCTAAAGGTGTAGCCACCTATTAGAGTCGCACACCCACTTATTGCACATGTCCCATTTATAGTCTAAGGGGAATAAACAAGAGATGAAAGACAGCGTAGTCTATGAACGTATCTTGGACACTCCTTACTCTAGCCATAGAGGTTGTTACTCAAGTGTCAAACGATATCTTGATGTAAACTGAACGTTTGACGTCAAGTTTGGCGCTTATTTAGACTTTTGGTGACAGCTTTGGCTTGCCAGAGAAAAACAACGACAAACGTCAACACCACCAACAACTCGAGACTCACTACGGCCAGCAGCGTCCCTTGCCTGAAAGCATACGACTTTAAAGATGCTACTATTGACGATACGATGCCCCGAGTTCTACCGTGGGAACTGGACGAGCCGAAGCGGGAACGCTCGACGCCGGAGAGGCCCATCAAGCGTGAGCTAGGAGCGCAGCGGAGCTCGACAAGCACTGCGCTTTCAGGTAGACTCAGTAAGTAAACCATTCAGCATGTGCATCTATTTGCGGACCTGGTACATCCGCTAGTTGGTACAGAACATGGCTAACTTGCGTCCGCAGATCGAACACCCTCAACTTCGCCTGTTCGAGAACCGCCCTCTGAAGAGTATGCAGACCTAGAAATATCCGGCCACCAGGTATACTTGGCTAACCCAGAGATCTAGGCTCATGATAAATGGCCTCGACGCCGACGATCAATACATCATGGTCGAGGATGAGTTCCTGTCAACCGCTCGATCATTTACGGCACATTTGCATCGCGCCGAATATACTCGTAAAAGAAAGAAAGCCAAGACGGAAAATGCCTCGAAGGTGATGAGAATGACCCAGCGACGGCCTACTGATCCGAAGATGTCTATGAATAATGCAACCAAAAAGAGTATTCAGCGCGAATCCTCAAATATGCAGCGTCTGGAGGCATTGGAAAAGATGAAGGAGGACGCTGGAAGGCCGCAGGTTGATGATTCTGATATGGAAGAAACAGACGATGAAGATATAGGGATGAGTGATGAAGACCGAGACGATGACCCATGGGTAGGAACTTCATTGCAAGCATTGATGGTGACTGCGAAGCAATCCCGTCCGCTCATGGGTCTACAGGGGATCAAGTCGTCCACAAAGGCAGCGTTAGGCTACTCTCGACCAGCGAACACGAGTGGTGGCGTTGAAAAGTCCTTGCGAGACAAGGGCGCAGGCGAAGGTGAAGGCCAGACCAATTTCGAACATTCGGCCTCCGTCGAGGGCGGATGCAACGGAAGACTTTACAGCTTCCAGCGATGATGATGACCTAGGCGTCCAGGCTAGGTCATTAAGCCGACCACCGGCTATACCAGCCCGATCTAAGACATCAGTACCAGCATGCACCTCCAAGCTAACTCCTGTCGCTCTCCCGCATAAGAGAGACTCGACTCCTTCAATTGCAAGGGCAGACCCAGCACCCTCGCCTATCAAGCAGCCACATGTAAACATCAGAGAGTCCCAGAGCTCTAGCAGCGGGTCGTCTTCGCCTGCTACTCGATCAAATTCAGCACCCAAGCCTCGTGGAAGCTCGAGCTCCCGATTTGCAAAATTCTTCGATGAGCTAGACGAGCCAGCCAAGGAACCGGGTTCGAGCCCTGCTAAACGCCAAGTGAAAATTGAAGAAAGTGATCCTACATTTGACCAGATCAAAACTTTCCAGTCTGAGGATGCAGGGGAGGGTAAGAAGCTTCAAAAACTGCGCCTGAACCAGGTTCCGACATTTCTATGAGGCGGATATCTATCCATGGGCCGTTTACCAGTCTAACTCCAGAGCATTGCTGTGAATATGGCAATCACAGGTAAAATTAGATGCAAAAAAAAAGCACTGGTTGAAGATCTATGAAAAGCAACAACGCCGTCAAACTTTCTGCATGACTTGACTTTTTCACCCATCCCGCTGCGGCATTTAGCTCCTTCGATATACTTCCACTCCAAGGGATGTATTCCATGTCCCCTCTGTCCGAATACATGGTAGGTGCATTTCACGGATTCAGTATTTTGCAGCATAGAATATGCGGCGGTGCTGGGAATCAACAACCGGTGATCTTGGCGACTGAAGACAAGAAGGGCATACTCCATCGGAGCCATGGTCCGATAAGTCTAAGATGCCGCCAGCCCTCGTCCTGCAAGACGGTGGAATTCTCCGGCGTGGCTTGACAGGAAAAAAAGGAAAGACAGCCATAGCTTTTCCTTACGCCGTAACGATGAGCGCCTGGCGCATCTGCATTCCAGGGCATCCCGGATATTATATACTTAGTAGCAGATGTTAACCTCTTCCGATTAGATTGGAAAAAAATTTTCATCTTTGGATGGATGGATGGATAACCAGATGAAGATAGAGACTTATATTCATACAGCTCGAATTAAATATAATTATCATATAACTCATGAAGTGCAAATCCAGGCAGAGCAGACGGAGAAGCTCTATTTTGGATAATCCTTCAGGTGGAAGCTTTTCAGCTTGATGAACTGGTCGAAACCAAATCTGCTGAGGGTAACACCTCTTCCGGAATTCTTCCATCCGGTCCATGCAAGGTCCTATGAGAAGAAAGGAGGTTAGAATGTGGTGATGCCAGAAGCCTTGGTACGTACGGGTAAAGGATACAGTCAAACGAAAAAAAAAAAAAAAGAGATTGTGAACAGAACTGGGATATCATGCAACTGCAGCACGGCGCAGAACAGCAGCACAGGACAGGGGGTTCGGCAAAACTCACTGGGCTCGGATAATCGGCTCTATTGATGAAGACGGTGCCAGCTTCGATCTCCTGAATCAGCTTCTCTCCCGTCGCTACGTCCTTTGTCCAGACGCTAGCAGTTAGTCCGAGGTCGCTGTCATTCATCCATCGAATGGCCTCGCTGTCGTCCTTGACTTTCATGACGGGTATGACGGGCCCGAATGTCTCTTCAGCCATCACCCGCATACTGTGCGTCACACCTGTGAGCAGCGTAGGTTTCACGAAATTTCCGACGGGTGGAAGGTTATCGAAGGTGGTGTTTGCAGGAGTTTCGTCCCTGGCGCCGCCCTTGATAGCATCTTCTATGTGTGAGAGGATGTTCTCTCTAGCCTTTTGAGATATGACCGGCCCGATCTGGGTCTTCTCGTTGAAAGGATCGCCAACGCGATAGTTGGCGAGCACCTTTTTGATTTCCTGGATGAAGGCATCGTGGACCTTTTCATGAACGTATACCCGTTCGATAGAGCAGCAGCTCTGACCGCTGTTGAAAATGGCGCCGTCCACAATCTCCTCCGCGACCCAAGCTAGGTCTACGTCTTGACGGACGTAGGCTGCATCGTTACCGCCGAGCTCGAGGCCGACATTAACGATCCGGTCTGCTGCTGCTTTCTGGACAGCCAGACCTCCGGCAACTGAGCCGGTGAAGCAGATGTGGTTGATCAGGGGAGACCGGATGATGGTCTCGAGGTTGACGAGCGACCCGCAATGGAAATATTGCAGCACGTTCCGGGGGAGACCAGCTTCGAGGAAGATGGACGACACCTGCTCGACGACTGTGGGAGTTTGTGGGGAAGGCTTGAGAATCACGGCGTTTCCAGCTAAAATCGCAGGGATCAAACTATTGACCAGGATCAAGTAAGGGTACTATGCTGAATTAGTATCTCGAGCTGAAGACCAGAAACAAACGCAACTAGTTGGGAAGAGTCTTGCTTACGTTCCAGGCAAAGATGATGAGAACGACGCCCAGGGGCTCCTTTTTGAGATATCTCTTGAACCCTGGTTCAGCGTCCCCAGGCACCGGCTCCCCGAGCGCCTCACCCGCCACTCGGTTAAGATATTCTCCTCGCTTGATGGCCGTCGAGATCTCAACCCCCGTGTAGGCGATAGGTCGCCCCATCTGCTCGGTCACCTCGCGGGCGAGGACGTCCTTCTTCTTGGCCATCAGGTTCAGCGCCCGGGCGACGATCTCCTGTCTCTGGGCGAGCGTCGTCGACTTGGAGAACGTCCGGAAGGCCTCCTGGGCAGTCTTGGGCAGCACTGCGAGCTCGTCCTGTGTCACGCCAGATCTGGTCACCACGGGCTTGCCGGTGATGGGCGAAATGGTCGTCAGCGTCTCGGAGGCCATTGTCGACGGGTCAGCGGTCAGCGGTCAGCGGTCAGCGGCGAGCAACGCAGCACTTCTTTCTCTCTTCCTTCGGATATGGTATCTAGCTAGTTAGCAGCAGCAGAGCAGGTTATAGCGGGCGAGGGGTCAGCGGGGACGTTGAAGCTGGCGACGCAAGCCCGCTTTTAATAGGAGTTTTGACTTAGTTATCCTCGGTATCAGTGGGTCGAGGGCGAAAGAATGGAACAGCCGCGTTTACCGACACTCGCAACTCCGCGGGTCGTCAGGCCATAGCTAAGCTGGCTAGCAGCTTGCAGCGAGCTCAGCGCAGAGTAAGGGGAGGCGTGTGTCTCGCGCTCGTCCGGACGCTTGATGGCGCTGCTCGACGCCCGCTGCAGCGCCGGGATATCCAGCGTGCCTCGTCGTCTGCCTTTCGCTGATGCGGCGAAACCGCCGGACAAAAGTTTCGGCATCCCGCGTCCCAAAGCGGAAATGGGTCGCGCGACCTCAAAACGCTTCAACCTCAACGTCAAGTCTACAGCTACAACTACCGCTACATCGACAACAGAGCAAAGATAGACGACTACAGATGGATTGATACTATGACAGGCTACTCCTCTAACTCGTGGGCGGCCAGGGTCTCCTCCGTCAGCTTCTCGCCCGTCTCCCAGTTCACGATCTTGCTGTTGCGCACCATCGCGTTGTAGGTGCGCCTGCTGGCAAAGCGCCAGTAGCCTGCGCTGCGCTTCATTATCTCCCGAGCCTCGTTTGATAGCAGCTCCAAGTCGGTGAAGATGGCCTCTCCAAGCTTCACGAGCAGCTGCTTGCGGTCCTTGTCGGCGTTGTCTTTGTCAATGCGGATGTTGAGCCCAGCGAGGATCTCCCGGATTATTGGAAGCTCGTACTTGTTGATGTTGCCGTACTCGGCTCTGTCCTTACCGGGAGACGGTGTTTTCGACTCGTGGTGTCCGTGTCCTCCGTGGGCATCCTGTTTCATGGCAAACTCTCGAGCCTGCTCTTCCACCTCTTGGAAGCGCAGGATGCTGGCTACGAAGAAGGTGTCTGCATCCTCAGGGCTTAAGGCAGATTCGAGCTTGCTGATACCGTGGATAGCCTTGTTTACCTGCTCGACGGAACTAGCTAGGACGACTCCTGGAATCTTTGGACGGCAGACCTGGCGCCTGATCGTCTTGGCTACGCTCTTCTCCAGCTTCTTGGCCCTCTTCTCTGCCCTGCGGTCCCTGGCCGACATGGTTCTCTTCAGCGATTCTGGCTGGCCAAGTGAGCGGATAACGGCAGCCTTTGCGAGTTTCATCACCCCCATAGCTGGAGTAAGATTGGTCGTGCGATCATAGAGAACAAGGCCATTCGTACCGTCGCCAAATTTGAGGGTAAGGTTTCCCTCTCCTCGGTCAAACTCATAGATCTTGTCTACCAGAGCTGCAATGTCCTTGTGCCGTTTCTCATGGAGTTCATTTGACTTGCGGCAACTATATCTGGTTAGCCCAGGTACCAGCAATCTTTTTTTTTTTTTTTTTTAAAGTCAACCTTGCACACTTACGGGTCGCATTTATGACTATTGCCTATACAACGGCAGTCTAGTCAGCATCTTCTTCGGAAATATACCCCTTTTTGGCACCAGTCAACTTACCAATGCAGAACATTGTTTGGTGGTACCTCATGCAAGGCTCCGTATGCTTTCCATAGCAGGCTCTTTTTGCCTTTGAACTGTTGAGACACGTGCCACATACTCCACATCCATGGTCTGGCAATCCGGGAAGGTCAAAGGATGTTAGCCACTAGTATCAAAGCAAGGGAGGGATTTTGGTATGTCATACAGAGTCCTGGGCTTTCTTCCCACTTGAAGTTATCATCAACCTTTCGGTCCATTTCTAATTGACAGACTCCTTTGCCAGTTTAGTATCCCAACAAAAAAGGAAAGAGAGCAAAGCTTGACAAAGGCCCCTATGTAAGGGGAGATACAATAGCAATATTTAGCTGTTGTTCTGAATTGTGTATAAGTGTCGCTAGTAAAATAGGGGCGTCAGTGTTGTTAGGAGCAGTATCAAAATAGATTTGCAGGTAAGCTGTAGAAAAAATACTTATTCAGAAGAAAAATCATTTGGAAACATCGAGTCCACCCAGGCTCTTAAATAGGCCAGGATTGGCCTGAGTGAGTCTCCTGTTCATCAGGACGTTCCTTAGTGTCTTAACTGTCTGCCCTACAATATGAATGGATATATCCTCAGTATTCACTAGCACAGTTAATTAAGACGAATAGTCCTGTCAGAGTAGTAATTTGTTACCTGTTCTTCTTTGATAGTCCCCTTGAATATATGGAAATTTTCTGCCCTTATGCCTACATCAGTTAATTTCCTTATTAACGAGTGGAATACCCATTATAGGTCACTTTCTACTATCAAATAGTGAAATGAAGGGATACTCCTATTAATAACCAAAATAAAAAGACATAAATCCGCCAGATATTATATCAAGAAAAAGTCCGGCCTCAGATGGTGGAACTAAGCTTCCCATCCTACGCCCCTTATATGTCCTGTTTTGCTGGAGTATGTCTACGCATAGAAAGAAGACGCTCAAGTAAAGCCGAATATGAATGCATCAGTTTACCGAGTTCATTGTCCCCTGGCTTTGTTAGTGGTTTCTCTTGCGTTGCTTCGTTTTCATTGCTAAGTGAGTACCCGCTAGTCAATTACTACAAGAACACGGCCTGCAATAATGTATTATGATCTCGACTGCATGACTTGATACTTCAAAGGCGTTGGCAATGGGTAGTTACGTAAAGGTGCTAGAACTCTTCCCTTTATGAGAAAAGGTATTCGTTTGCAGATGTTACTCCGGGAGTTGGATATATCCAAGTGTAGTTACTGGTCGGTGGGCGGAGCATATATGGCTGGATTCATTTGTGGGGCTGAGAAGCCTTTGATAGACATAAGTAAGGAATAATTATAACAGCAAGATAAACCACATTATTGAAGGCAAACCGCGTAATCTAGGATGGAGAGTATTATCGTTATTCCTTGCTCATTGCAGCGGGGTGTGCTACTCTAAGCAGGATATGAACAAGAATAGGGGCATATTCAATCATCACGGACAAGACGAGCGCCGGCCCAGACGTATGGGTAGTTCCGCTGGTACCAGTTCACACTGGGAAAAACGTGTTAGAAGCCGGTACGTAGCATAGTGTCAAGGACTGAAATGTGAACTTACAAAGTTGACCGCCCTGCAAGCCTGGGATGGGTTGCCCATGACCCTCCGAGAACGATGTTATGCTTCCCATCAAAGAAGTCCGCTGCAGGAAATTAGCTTTGTCTTTGCTTGGAGTCGGAAAGATCCAACCTACCGGTATACGCAGGGTACAGATCCATTGGCTTGAAGCCATCGTGAGCCTCTAAAGTAGAGCTAGTCCACTCCCATAGTCCACCGAAATTTCCTTGCCCGCTGAGCTTGTTTCCATTCTGCGTGACAGACGTTGGATGCCAGTGGGTGAATCCGACATTGCAGTCATCGAGGTCAACATACACTGACTTGTGTAGGCTGGAAGGGTTCTGCACTGGTTGGTGGCTAGTGTCATGGTTTTGTTTCTCTGACCCGTTCGTAGATGTCCTGATGGGCTTGTTAATAGATTTGCACAACATGATGATAGGGGATTGAAAGCTCACTTTAGACCGTTCGCCACCTCACCATTCCCAGAAGGACAGGTGAGTGAGTACTTGTATAAACTCCTAGCCTCCTCGAAAGTAGGAATCCTACACTTAATCCACTTGGCATATCGGTTTAGCTCTTCGTAGGATGCGGCGACAGGCCAGTCCAATGCCCACTCTAGTGGTACTGGACCAAACACAGTGCGCACAGCATACTTGGCCATAATGTTTCGTGAGCCATTCTCGGTTGACTTTTCCACCCAGGATGCGGGCAGCTGTTCAGTACCACATTCCTCCAGGTACTTGGCATACTCTCCATTGGTTATTGGCCTAGCCTTGGCCATAAAGCTTGGTACATGCGCACTTCGTCGTGGTTTTTCATTGTCCCATCCGAAGGAAGTACTAGGAATCTCATCTGAACCCGGCTCGTCGAGGCCGATCTCCACGGTCTGCTCTGGGATTTCAAACCATTCATTGGGAACAGCTTTCTGGGCTGAGTCGAATGCTAATTGTTTGAAATCGGGCTTCGCGACAAGAGGAGGGGGCATAGTACTGTTGTGTTGCAAAAGCATGTAGAGGAAGGTCTCTAAGTGCATAGTTTCATGTTCGAAGCTGATCCATAGAGCCTCGGCGACTTTCCTATCACCAGCCTTACCATTAAAGTATATCGACCTCGCCCTAATCCTGACCTGGCGTTGGTATTCCACCAAGGTTTCAACTGAAGGCCATTCATCCGGTATAGCGCTGTGGTCGTGACAATGGTCCGGGTTATCAACGTCAGGGTCAATACCACGCTCGAACATGGAATGAAACTCGGCTGGTTCGGTGGGGACTCCACCGGTCGCTCTCGTGAGATGCCTATCTATGGGTATGCATTAGCTCCCGTAACTTTATATCTGACACAATCTCCAATAATTTAGCCTACCCATAAACGCTGGGATGTGTCCCAGATAGAAGATCAGAGAGTTCCTCAGATGAATTGGCCTGGAGAGCAGGTCGGTAGGGGGTACCATGGAGGTAGTGACAGTGTCCCATAGCGCCCAAGCTGCTTCGAAGTCCTGCAACGCCGGAACGACATCTTTCACGTACTCCGCCCTCTTGGTTGGTAGCTGATACGGGTTCATATTGGGGGTGGCTGAGGATAAGATATGGATATCTACCGCAGGGCAAAGGCAGGTTGGTCAATATGAATCTATAAATAAGCAGCGGCGAATGCCCGTCTGTGTAGGAGGGAACCTATCCTTGCCGGCTTGGCTTAGCAGGCGGGGTTCAACTTACTATAGTCATCGCCGAATTTGCGAGTTGGATGCAAGCCAGCATCACACCACAGCTTTTCACAGTCATCTGCTGCATATTTGAATGCCTGCTCGAAGAATATCTTCTCGCCCTTCTTGATATGTATATTGTTGATGACAGTATCCGCTAGTGGAACGTAATAGGCTTTGTGGCACCCTAGCGTTTGGTCAAACTCTCCTATTGCGTCCCATTCTCCTGACTTAAAAGCTTCGAAGCCGAGAATAGCGTTTGCGTTAGACAATCCGTTAAGATAGAACTGCCTTGTCACGCCCTTTTTGTCGTTGTAAGCCCTGAACACCCGCTCGGGGTCCTTGCAGGGATCGAAAGCAATCACCATCGAATCCGCTGGTCCCAGACTCCTGGCAAACCCACGGAGAAAGCCAGCGGCTTCAATAGGGCTAAAGTTGCCCATTGACGAACCTAAAGACATAACCCAGGTTGCTTTTTTCCTGTTCATGGGGTTGTCGAGCCAGTTGAGGCCATCGTCGTATGTGCCCCAGAATCCACGGCATTTGACATAGCGGTAGCTTTTCGACGGCAACTCTGCGAAGGTCCGATGAAGCTCTTCTAGGGACAGGTCAAGGGCGTAATATTCAACCGGCTTTTTCGCTCGCTCAAGCTCATTCAACAAGATCTCGATCTTTCGTAGATTCCTACACTCGCGGTTAAAATCGAATAGCCGGTGAAGAGGGGCATGGGATATTTGCGCGGTATTCGGGAAGGCAGTGGCATCGAAGGGGAGAGGAAAACAAACCCGCTCCCCAACTCAACTAATTGGCAGTTCTCAGGGACAAGTGCTGCGATTTTGGCGGCATTTGCTTCCAAGACCTTGATCTCCGCGTTCGTCAGGTAGTATTCGTCCAAGTATGTAATGTCTTCGAACAGTCGTAGCCCTTTTGTATCGTAAAGAAGTAAAGTTGGCAGGCTCTTCTCTGCAGCCTGAAGACCATGGTAGATGTCCTGAGATAAAGAGCTCTGAAGGTTGGTACCGCGGATATCCACGATCTCAACGTTTGACGTAGCAATGGGAGACATGTTACTTTTTTTTCAAGTCTAATAATGGGTTTTTCTAGACAAATCGGAGCAGCTAGGCGTCTCAACTCCGAAAAGGACTAAAATCCAAGCTCGATGAAGGTACAGACCTTCACCAAAGGAAGGGCCACAGATAAATATATATACACGGATATATATATAGATGCTAGTAAGGAAAGGTGTACTTTGCAGAAGTAGCTCGGGGATCATGCGGAACTCGGGCCAACTACCTGTACGCTGGTGCGGAGTGGTTTGAAAGATGTTCAGGGATGCCAACGGACGAGACAGGAGCTGAGGAATCATTTCGATAGTTTCTAGAACAAGGTTCGTAGAAAAAATGTCATAAAATTGGAGAATCATCGTCTAGCATCCGAGCCGGACTCTTAGGACAATAACAACAAACAATTCCCTGAAGCCGCTTGACTCATCTCGCGTACGTGCCGGGCACAGAGCGTCAAAGTAGAAAGCCGTCGTGGGGAGTGGGAGTGTACACGACAACAACGCGGTATTTCTGGGTTATCTTGTTTTTTTCGTATGCGGCAACCCTGCACCTTCTCCGCCAGCAAGCCTGGCCTAGAAAGCATTAATGTGCGACATCATGGGCCACTGATTTGCACAGGCCGGCTGGTACACAATTCAGCCTGCAAGGAGGAGGATCATCAGGCTTTCAAGGGGCCCGCGACTATGACGCAGCATGCCAAGTTGTATCCTGTGCAAGGGACGGTCAGGTTAGCGAACAGGTTCCCGTTATCCAGTCAAGATGAGGGGTTTTACACGGGGCGGTCGGTTCTCCATGTGCCGCCAGCATGTTACATGGCTAGCTCGGGAGCATTTTGGTCCCTCGCGCGTGTTTGTTATTCGTTGTCCTTCGTTATTCTCGTACAGACGAAGAAGCTAAAAAGGTGGAAGTTGCAAGAGTTGCGGCTGGAAGTGTTTGTTTGGTTTGTTTTGTTTGTTTGCTCTGTTTGTCTTGTTTGTCTAGTTTGCTTGATTTGTTTAATTTGTTTGTTATCTTATCTGATAAGGTTTATATGTTTGCATGTTTGCACTGTTTGCAGAAGAGCTTAATTAATAATCAAGCTCAACCTCAACATCGACTTCAAAACTTCTTCGCAATTTACGGCCCAAGGAAGGGCTCTGCAACGGCTCCAGGTTAATTGTTGCTCGGTCTTTGGCAATAGGTTGCTCCTTGCTTGCAATGACTATTAACAAGCCGCAAGGCTAGTCTCTTGACCACGTTGGTGTTGATTTTACATTCTCCAGTGTTATACACGGCTAGTTTTACGTTGCCCTTTCGCGTATAACGAATATTTAAAATCTTGACACCGTTCAGAATATTGTATAGCAGAAGTCCTTACAGGCATTGGTGTTAGTGAATAGGAGGATATGATATCGTTACATTCGTTTCATTGATCTATTTTACAAACGGGTTAAGCCCTTGCAGTTGGCAGTTGTAGTTGTAGAGATACATCTACATTTCCAATGTCATTTCATCGTTCCCTAGCTCTATATCCGCTGTAGCTGCAGCCTCTTCCTCTTCCTCACTTGCAGTCTCCTCGAAGTCCTCAAGGCCTGCTTCTGTTGCAAGGCTATCTGCTATCTCACTGGCTGCAATAGCAAGATTAGACTGGGAAACTGCATATGCCTTTGTACTTAAAAGCCCGGCCCGCATCAAAGCAATTCCATTCGTTAACGTTGTAAGCCTTGCTTCTAGCTGCTTCAAGGTCTCTTCTAGGATCTCCTTCTGCGCTATAGCACTTGCAGATAACGTCTCGGCAGTAGAGGCAACCATACGAAAATGGTGGTGCAGGCATCTGGCTTTTTCTTTACGGACCTCTGCATCCGTAGCAGGCCGTTTACGACTGCTACCCCCTTTTTTAACGTTTTTCTTTGGCTACGAAGCAGCCGGCAAGACTTCCTTCTCCTTGCCCTTGCCCTTCTTCGGCGACGTCAAGCTCTCTAATACACGTGTTAGACAATATAATTACTTTTATAGGTATAGAACGCACCTGCACGAAGTGAACACCGAGTTCCTAAGTCATTAAAGTGGCAGTTCGCGCAGCTGCCAGAGAAGATATTCTTCATAACAATATACTCAGTAAATGGGCCGATTCCTTTACTACAGTGCTCGCAGGCGGCAGGGGCTGGCTGGCCACGGAGCTGCATGATAACTGATTCTTACAGCCCGGGCTAAGTTAAAGTTTATAGCTTCCACATAGTGGCGAAGCTCGAGTTCTCTCATGCGTTTGACGGCTGTAAGTATATCAATCACGTCCGTGGCCTTCTCCTTAAAGATCGTAACCTCAATCTGCTCAGTCTCAAGCAGTCTTTGCTCCTGCAAGGCCTTCAACGTCTTGGGAGCGAACTGTAACGTCTCGCTAAGGGTTTGACTGCGAGGACTGCTGGGCCAAGAGCTGCCGCCATCATTATCTGCATTCATTCTGCGGGCCGTACTGATAGAAGGAGTTGTAAACGACTATGGATGTGGATGAAGATGATATAGACACTTGCCAAATTGGTAAATATGAGCAGGGGTTTGTTTACAAATACGCGCATGACTAAGCGAGCTAAAAATTTTAGTGTGTGTCCTATTACTAAAGCGACATCCTAATCTCAGTCTTCAATATCCTAGTTGGAGACATGAAGAAAGTGATAGACAACACTAAGATACCCATATAGAGTGTTACTAAAGAATTCAAAAGATTTATAGCTTGAACTATATTCATTTCCTTTCAGACTGCTCTCAGTCACCAGGATGGTGGAAGCTGCCGGTGACTCTGCAAGAATGACTTCACATCCAAGAAACTCTCATTTAAAATGGGCACCTTAGCAGAGATTTGCCTGCTAACAATGCAACTGACTATTCACAATTTTGTAATAGTTATTTCATGCCTAGATTCTCTGATTCCATGGAGCTTCAAGGACCATCTCCCAGTTCACCATACGACCCAACACAGTTCATGAACGGGAAAGACCCTGAAACAACTGTGGTCGAGTTAGCAAATCTCCTCAAGAAAACCGTCGATGAGAGAAATGCTTCCCGGAGATGCCTTTTGCAGACACTGAAAACAATAACCGATCTCAAATCCCACATTGAAGAGCACCGGTTCATAATTATGGAAAGTCAAGCAGCCCTCGCTGAATGCACGCGCAAAAATAGCAGCTATCTTTCGTTTCTCATGGCCGTTGAGCCAAGATGGATACAGGATACTTGGGTCTCCTTCCCCGCCAACGAGCCGCTGCTGGGGGTGTCTGAATACAAATGGGCCCGAGGGGAATCGCAGCATGCGTTGAATGAACTTTGTCTCCTGAGAAAGCGTCTAGACCCAGTTGGGGCTGATTGGATACAAACTTTCCTTCTCGAAGGCGCTATATTACTTTCCTCGGGCCAATATACAGAAGCCCGGTTTTCTATCTCTGATGTTATCTTACCTCACCCCACCCTAGAGGAGCAGAATCCCGATGTAATCCGTGATCTTCGTGATATTGCTCACTTCTTACTCGGAAAGATATTTATGGCGGAAGGGAAATGGAGCGAGGCGCGTGGGGAGTTCTCTGAGGTCATCCATGTCCTTGAATACAGCACCAGAGCGATTCAGCTGAAGACTATCTCACGCCAGAAATCAAACCACAAGAGAAAACCGCGTTCTCTATCAGCCTCTGCTCCCCGGGATGAGGAGTCGACTCGCCTTGTCATCGACTAGCACTTTACTTACCTATATCCAAGCTTCTGCAAGAAGCCTGATGCTGCTATCGATGTGCTGGTATCTGTGGAGGGACTACTTAAATATTCCTTTTCTCATCATATTATCACATCTGGAGAGTTTCAGGTGGCATAGTGACAAGTATGTCTAATGTCAAAAAAGATGACACCCAACTACTAGATCAATTACATCTTAGGGACTAATCCTTCAAGTAGTAGGACATCCTGAAATAATTCTACTGTAAACAACCTTCAGGGGGATGGCGATGATACACAGACGTGCTGGCAAAGTCGCAACGCCAATCTAACGTCAATGTAACAACATCTCAAGATCTTTGCTACCAAACCTGCATCAACAACCGCGCAAATGCCCGAGTTACCCCAGGGGTATGCGTTGAATCTATGGAGTACTCTGTAACTACTTTCAACTCCATCTACGAGCGTGTAAACAATCTCGTCGTCCTGGAGCGGAGCATTCTCGAGATGAGTTTGACGTCTTCCCTCTCCTGCGTCCCATATCTTCGCCCCCATAAAAATAGGAATATCACCTTGATTTATTACGTTCTAATTATCTCTGTAGGCATCTTAAAAACTCCACTTATTCGCTGCATAAATAAGGGTGATCATATAAACAGCTCTTCGGTGATATCCAATATCGAATGCCCCTCGAACCGCTTCCACAGCATTTCCCCTTATATAACGCCAACTACCCCTGGGGCCCGGTTTCTATGATTAGTTACTTAGTTAACATCGGGGACGTAGCTTGAAAGGCTGAGACAAAGACGACGCCATCCGCCTATTCTTCATCAGCGTCAAAAGTATCACCTCTCAGCCGTACCTGAGATGACGAGTGCAAAGCCAACGCGTTACACATCGAATCCATCGGTTTCGCGCCAATCGAGCGAGCCGCGGTTGAAACATTCTAGAAGTCAGCTCTCCAGACTCCACCCTCCCGAAGGCCAATCTCGTTCTTACGAAGTAAAATTATTTATATTCCGACCAATCGCGGCCCCAGCCGTGGCGTGGTTTCGGGCTGGCATTGAAGCTCGAAGCTGCAAATGGATTGTGCCACCTTCGTGTTTCATGATTATCCACGAAGCAAGTCGCATCGAGGGCGGGCGACTCCTGCATCCAGCGGATGGGAGAATCCTGTCTGCCAATAAAATGCTAGGTTGGATATCACCTGGGCTTGCTGAACCAGAAAGTGACATGGAGGATTTAGGCGGTACGCTTGGTCGTCTGAAAAAATGACCTCCCTTCGTCGTGATAGGGTAGCCAGATTCTGGCAGACCCTTGGACGGGATTGATATCCGCATCTAGCGGGCGCCTTTGACCGGATTCTGTTGGATTCTTTTGTATCCATGGAAGCCGTGGGCCCTGGCTAACAAGCATCACTTTCAGTAAGGGGTCGGTCGACCAACAAGGATCCGTGAAGCAGGTTGTTCTGCACTTCGCATCCAAATCTGTCAGGAAACTAATGTGATGAGGCCCTGTACGAGACTCGCTTGTAACCGGATTGTTTTTGCTCTGATCGGGACTGGTATACGGAGTACCCAGTTGCAGACACCCGCAGGAGAGCCAGTTAGGTTCCTTTGCATAATCGGTTTCTTCTGCGTTCCCGCTTCCTCTGCCAACGATACTTCCTTTTCGCCAGTCGGTTGCCCGAGCGCGGGCCGCAGGAAAGATAGAGCTTTTAGACAGTGAGGTCCTTCAGACCAAGCCGGTCGGCCCTACCAGCTCCACTCTGCCATGCCCGGTGATGCATGGAAGGGGTTGAGGTAGTTATAACAACAGCACCCACTCTGGCTGCCTGGGTCCTTGACAAAAGGGAGAACTGCTTCAATCCCTGTTTGTCTTTGGGTTAATATCTGAAGGTCATCATACCCACGCTAAACAAACAACTGCCATGGCCCTTCGATGGGTGTGAGGGAACTAATGCTCGCCCATGCCTTTTGAATCGTGGCTGTTGATTCCTCGCCTTCATTTATCCCCATCCAATGGCTACCCTGTCAAGTTCGATCTAGCAGGCTCCATTTCTTTATTCGGTATTGATTCCGGAAGCTTGCTCATAAACAATAACAATAAATAAAAGTATGTTAAAGACGAGATACTTCCCTCAACAGTTGAGAGAGGACAACTCCTTTTTGCACCTCATAGAATACCTTCGAAATGTGCACAAGACCAATTGCCTGGACTAACTTGCTTCCCAGCATAAACGATACATAACCTCAACAACTTCAAAGTGCAAAGGACGAATGGTCTTCGAATGACCACCCAACGGGTCTTCCTCTCGTCCTTCACTTTGGTACGGCCATACCCTTTGGATCTTGGTTTATTTACTTGCCTTTTTCTTCCATTTTTTGGGCCCGCATTCATGAGATGGGGAGAGCAGATGTGAGTGGTAAGGGATATGTGCTTTTTGTAGTCGGTACCTTGACGGTTACCATTTCTGGAATTTTTGTTCTTCTGCGGCTGGTCGGCAGATATCTTAGAGATGGAATAAGGGCGGATGACTGGACAATTCTCGCGGCATTAGTATGTATAACCTATACATTGAGCGGGTGGTGTCAGACGGTGTACTAACTCGGGTACAGGTCCTCACAATTGCTTTCACGGCAGTTCTCGATTTGGGTGAGTTATACAATCTCAGTTGGTTAACCTACCAGCGTTGGTAGCTAATATTGTAAAAGGTATCGGGCATGGCCTGGGAACGCATGATCATGATATTGACAAAGAAGACAGAGAGCTTGCATTCAAGGTATTTTCTTGTTATTTGAACATGTGTATTTCAACCCATATAACTGACATCTGTCCCCGTAATAGATGCTCCTTAGTGCACAAGTTCTGTTCAAACTCATCATGGGTCTTGCAAAAGTGTCGATATTGGCTCTGTATTTAAGAGTCTTCGCCGCTAGCAAGTACTTCCGATGGGCTTGCATCAGCCTTATTATCGTCACCAGCGTGACATCCGTCGCATTCATCTTTCCAACTCTCTTCCAGTGTCTCCCGCTACAGGCATTCTGGGATCGCAGTATCCCGCATCAATGCATGAATGACCTAGGCGTGTGGTTATCGCATGCTCTGATTAACCTTGTAATCGACATTCTTATTTTGGCCTTGCCTGTATACCATGTCTCCCGACTCAGGCTGCAGCTCCGCGACAAACTGGCATTGATCTTTGTCTTCGTCCTCGGTGGATTGTGAGGCTTCCCTATATTTTGAATCTCCTTTAATTGTTCTCGCTAACCGACCATTCTATAGTGTCTGTTTGATAAGTATAATCCGCTCTACGACATTCCCACAATCTGCGCAACCAATCGATGATACATGTATTCAACCCCTAAAAAAATCCTCCATGCCATATAAGGCGCTGTTTGCCATGACTGTGAAATATACTGATTCAAGCAGTGGACCATTTTCTTTTCAACGCAATGTGGGCGACCGTTGAGATGAACACCGCCATAATATGCGCCTGTTTACCCATAATCCGCCAGACGCTTACAATACTCTTCCCTCAAATTTTTGGGAGATCATCTCGACCCAGAAGCATATGCTTTCCGCGCTGTTTCCGTTGCCGGTCTTCGCGCCAGCAAGTGAGGCGTGAAACAAATCCTTCCCTTAGCATTGCAGGCAGTCTACCGTGGACCATGCATAACCGGGCCAATGTTGTGACTGCATCCGTTGAACCAGGGCGTGAACTGGACCTCACCCGAACAGAGAGTGAGGAACGTATAATTGACATGGAAACCTTCGAGGCGTGTTGCGGAGGGATCCTTAAACAAACAGATGTGTATATATCCGAAACTAGGGTGGATATATAACTAACTAATGTTGACATGAAGTAGTTAATCAGTTAATCGTAGATATAATCCAATATTTCAAACAAGCAAAAATAGAAAGTCAAGGTCCTCTTTCTTTTGGGCGTCTTCCACGGCATACTTCCGTAGCAATGTCTCTTCAGAGTGCAGTCCTACTCCAAGTCTATGAGTTTACTTTGGTCAGCCCTTACTCAAAGAGATCTCTCTAGATACGATGATATATTACCCGCAATCCCGAATATTGCATCCCTGATCGTGGATCTGGAAAGCCACATACCTGGTCATTATATCTGGCACTTATAGAACCAGCAAACCCATGTCACCAGGAACATAGTTTTTTCCCTTCAAAGTTCCTGTCCCGAGACTCTCAGGGTCAGCTTGAATCCCCAGCACCATTCATGCAACACGGGGTTATAGAACCGGGTTGGAGGCCCTACCTTGATATCCCGATCTGCCCAGCAAGGTAATAAGCTCAGAAGTTGTGCTTTGGCCAGGGATAAGCCGTGCCACTCTAACCCTTGTCAATTCACTTAACTACCTGTTGGTTAAGGTTCTGGTTCATATTAGACACGGGCCGTTAAACATGTCAAGCAGCGGAGATGAAGACGAATAAAGGGATATGCACCGATCGACAGCCCATAGAACTATTATGGAGGGCAGCCTGAACTTTACTGACGCAGGTGCTCTCGCCTCCTGTTTAACCTCAATGGAGGTTCATGAGAACTAGCTTGAGAATGCGGAGAGTAATTCACAGCACTTCCAGGGGAACGTCGTAGTTAGCGAAATGCCTTCTACCATTTCTAGTAATCTGTTGAAAGAAATATGCTTGTCGGTGCTGCTTAATTTTCGGCTATTAAGGCATATGTATGTCCTGCTGCATCATGAGGCCCCAGAAACATGAAGAATTTCGGAATCTCATGCTTTGCAGATGCTTTGTATGCTTCAGGGCCGTCGTATTTATCCTAGTTTTCAGCAACGGATTTACCCCCACTGCCAAATATACGTATGAATGTTTCCGTTCGGATAAACGCTCGGTAGCCAGGGCATGAATTAGCAAGGATGAATCCCTCGCTCCCCCGCAGCCCATCATGGACGATCTTTCAAGACCTTCGCATCTCAGTAGTAGATTTTCATTATGAAGCATCTTAGGGTATCCAATATCAAGTACATATGCGGTACCGTGGTAGGGTGTTAGCTCCAAGGGAGTTGCACAAGAGGAGAGTTCAGCAAACCGACCAGGCAGCCGATTTCAAAAGCCGGTAAGAGGGTATCATGATATTTCTCAGGGGGTTCCTTTCTCATGAACTTCTCTGTTCTAGCTCCCTAGCCCAGGAGTAATCTTTTGCCCTTTTTAGCTATAAAGGACATCAGGAATTATGACCCCTCCCCGAGATAGACGCGAAACCGCGGCAGTCGCATTGCAAATGGGATATTACGCAGTATCCAGAGTGCGTATGGAGAGCGTGTGGAATTGATAGACGGTACTATCCAATGCTATTAACGCAGAGATGTTACCAAACTACGATGACAATTTTCCTTTCCAGAGAAACATTATGGCTACCTCCGGAGGAGAGGGAGTTGTGGCATCTGACGGTTCCCTTTCTAAAGGTTTCATGGTCGGGCCGAGCAATGTGATTACACTGAATGAGGCCTGACATTCATGTGTGTAAAGTCCCGCTCAGCGTTGATATCAATTAGGAAAAGAGGCTATCGGAGCAATGCTACTGCCAAACGCATCTGACTACCTCAGGAGAGAGAGAGAGAGAGAGAGAGAGAGAGAGAGAGAGATGCGGTCTTATGGGCCGAGTGCATCAATTGCTCTCGGATCTCCTCTGACCGCTGCATCGGCTGGGTCTAGCTCGACTGAGAGCAACATGAAGCTATAAAGAGCGCTGGGCACATCATAGACGCATCCTACAATGATTGTTAGTGCTTAAATTGTAACAGCCTAACTACATTGGAGTAGGGGTCTAATTATTTGTACCTGGATAAAGTGTTCGCCTCCCAAAGTCCCGCCGGCAGGTTGTTGTTCAAAGAACCAGGTACCATTGATTTAATATCATCGTTTCAATACTAACCCCAGAGCTGATGCAGACATTCCAACGCCTATACAGGTGACGTGGTTGTAGGAAGAGCCAAGAAGCTTTGGTCGCCATAGTCTACCCCGTACGATGTATCCCCACCAACGGAGTCAGGGCTGCAACTTTACCCTTGCAGCTGGTCAGCCCACTATGATTATATACTGGATCTCTATCTCCATAAATCGCCGTCCTCGGATGAGCGCATATCTTGAGGCATAAGATGCCCCAGTTTTTTGTGCCTCGGCTTGGCCCACGGAAAGGGGTATAATCACCAGAAGCTGCTCTTATCAAGATGTTAAGCAAAAGGGACACCGATAGAGTTATCGTGAGAGCTTGTTTATTGTGTGTATTTTTTTCGTTTGTCATATCGGCGTCTATTCATTGAAATATTACCATTCGCGGAATATTCTGTCAATGGGGGTGCCCCAGATGAAGCTGGCCATGGCAACGCCTCCGACCGCCATAATGCTAGCCATCAGGAAATTGACAGCATTGTTGTCGAGAATGTCACTGCCGGCGGTGATCTTACGGCTCTCATGAGCCGGATCTGAAATTCCCTCGTTATTCTCGTGAGGAGAAGCATGCGGTGACAAGGCATTAGCAATGTCCTCGTTCGTTCGAAGGGATGTTTCTTGCCGGACAGGAGGATCTCCCATGATTTTGGACGTGAGAGCACCAGCATGGATAAGAACCTAGTCGATTATGTTAACGGAAGAGCTATTAGCGGGAGAGAGGCAGCGCGGGGTATGGCTGACCTTTTGTCCACCACATCCTTCAACGACTTTTCCCGTTTGTTTATCGACAACAGTGGCTTGAAGCAGTCCTCCAAGAAGGCTGTCAAGAAGGCTCCCCAGTGTACCCCATATCGTGATCGCGAGGACCCAAAGTGCTTGCTCATTCCAACTCCAAGCACTCCCTCCCTCGAGACCGAGCTTCGAGCAGCCAGCAACAGGTGAACCAAGAGAACAAAATGGGAGCAGCAGGGATGTCACGGCAATAGTAAATGCCCCCAAAGATCCAGCTGCGACACCAACAAGCGTTATTCCGCCATTTGTTCCGGGAGGGACTTTTCGAAAGGTAGGAGATGTTATCAGACGAGGGGCGCTTTTGGAGAGGATTCCCAGCTCGCTGGAGTACGTATCAGCGGCAACGGCAGCGTAGGTCCTACAGTTCAGAACCAACCCAGCTGTCAGTAGCAGTTCATCCACACTGTCCGGAGGCCATAGTTATTAGCACTCACGAAACGATTCCAACCATGAGGAGGCTCTCAGGCCTGCCATACGGAAGACACGACAGATTCCCGTTTTTGTAGTATATCCGATAGCAGTCGAGTAATATCAAAATGGAGGCGGCACCCGAGTTTGCAAGCACTTGAATATGAGTTCGTGATCCTTCTCCACCGGCTGCTCCAGCGGCTGATATTGTCAGGCGAGCCTTCACGTCGTGTTTTACCTGGACGTAGAGTTGAGATTATTAGCCAGCTGCATCAGCACCACCATCGCCACCACCAAACGCTGAAATTGACAGATTGAACGAGTACTCACTTTGGTTACCCTCGTACCACCCAAGAAGAAGACGATTAAAAGAGCAAAGGGAGTCGAAGACGGGTGGATTGCATGTATTACCGCCGTGAGCGCTGCGAATACAATGCCCAACGGTGTAAGCGATTTCCTTGACCAGGCGCGATGTACCAGCAGAAGAGTCGCCGGGACAGCTATTATAGGCTTCATCTCGACGCAATATCACCGGAATGAACTGTCTCTACCAGTAAGAAGCCGATTTCTCTGGTCGTTGGAGTTTGAAGGTCTGGCCTTTGCTGTGATCTAGTTATATGGATGTTTTTTTTAGCTTGCAGCAAGAAAGTTCCGTAGCCTTACGCCTGGAGCGTGGTAGTGGGCCTAGCAGGAGGCGAAAGACCGTAATATTTATTTATTCTCTCCTGTCTCTTCGAATGATAGTAAATGGCACTGCCGTCGGTTGTTATCACCGTCACGATGTTGTATTTGGATGGCGTTGAACTCCGGTCCAGCTCGGCGGGCCAGCTTTTGCTTCTTCATCCTTCGGCGACTAACATGAATCTCTACACCATAAACGTTGACAGACACGCCGCAGAGGACGGTAAAACACTGAGATACCTATCATTCTACACAAGTGCAGGATGGCAAACAAAAGAGAGCCAGGCAGGGAGCGCAACTACGCCGGGATTCGATGGCAGCTCGTTATTCTTGGTGAGTTCAAACGGATGGACTCCCAGCTTCAAGGACATCGAATTGATAGTTAGAGGACAGGCCTATTCAGGTTCAGCGAGGCCCTGGCATGGACGACCATATTCCCCTACGCTTTTACCATGATGAAGTCCTTTCTCCCGGCGGACGGTAACCAGGCAGCGCAGGCAGCGGTCCTGGCATCCAGCACCGTCTCGCTCTTCACGTTTGGCGAGTTCTTGACCGGAGTTCCCTGGGCAAAAGTCAGTGACCGGATAGGACGGAAGCGGACACTAATGGTAGGAGTTGTCTGCGGCGCCGCTTCAGCTCTGGCGTTTGGGCTATCCAAGAGCCTGGGGATTGCTTTGGTAGCTCGAGCGTTTGGCGGCTTGACAAATCCAAATGTTGGAGTCGTTTCATCCTGCGTTGGAGAATTGGTCAAGGACAAGAAGGATCAAGGTATGCTTTATTTCTCAGCGGTTCGATGGTATAGACTTACATAGCAACCACAGGTAAAGCATTCTCTGTGGTGCCATTTTTGAGAGCACTTGGGTAAGTTATATTTAGCATATGACTTCCCAAATGCTAATATTGCTATACCAGGAGCCTCATAGGGCCAGTCATTGGCGGCTGGCTGGCTGAGCCCACAAAGACAATACCATCAGTCTTCCATAAAGGAAGCATATGGGAGAAGTTCCCATATCTATTGCCAAATTTGGTAGTGGCATCGTCCATGGCAACCAGTGGACTGTTGGGGTTTTTCTTCCTTGAAGAAACACATCCTCATCTCCAGGATAGCCGCAATGTCGGATTGGAGATGTCCCAATGGCTCTTTCAAAAGACAATGAAGTTGTTTGGCTACATCGATACCCAAAAATATGCCGTGTTATCTTCTAACGGAGACGACGATATCCCACTTCGCTGCACGGAAGATATCGAGTTCGCAGCTGTAGAGAATGATTCCAGTGATGCAGATAAAGATACAATTACGGCAGGCAAGTCACCTGCAAAATCTGCATATTCGGGACAGGTCATTCTTCAAATTCTAGCTGCATCGATATTAGGCTTTCATAAAGTGTCGTCGGACGTGATTATTCCTATTTTCCTAGGTCAGGATAAAGAATCGGTGTCTGATGAGAAAGATTCCAACTTTTTATACTTCATAACTGGCTTTGGCATGAGCTCTCCAATGATCAGCAACGTTCTCCTATCTCAGGCCGCGGTAGCCATCCTGGCCCAGGTTTTTATTGTGCCAAAATTGATTGCTTGCCTGGGACCTTTGAAAGTCTTTCGCTGGGCTGTGTTTGCTTTTCCATGCCTGTACTGCCTAACGCCATTCATCTCTCAGTTGATCCATCCACTATCGACAATATTGATTTTGATAGACCTTTGGGTCAAAGCAATTCTGGTAAACCTGGGCTATACGGCTTCCAGTATTCTGTGAGTCAAGAAATTAACTTACAGCCAAATAAAGCAAGTGTTTGGCCCCTCCGCTAACATGGATAGGTTAACTAATACATCGCCATCGCCTTTACATCTTGCCACAGTCAATGGCGCTGCCGCTTCAATGGGATGTCTTGCAAGATCAGTGGGTGCTGCTGTGTCAGGGTCTATGTTCCATCTGGGGCTCCAACACCATGCTATAGGTTTGCCATTCTGGGCTTTGGCGGTAATCGCAACTGTTGGAAATATCCTCTCCCGGTTTCTGAGGGACAAGCCGTAGTTTATTTTGTTTAATTTTATCTTATTTGTTTTTTGTTATCATGACAGAAATGTTTTGGAGGCTTTAATATTTGGTGGAAATTGCAACGCTTGGAGAAACTGTTTGTCGGTTATTGAGAGATGATCCATGATCTTAAATACAATTGTATGCTACATTCTAACTGTACTATATGCACAAAAACGGGATAACCAGTTGGTTAATAACTGCAACGCAGTATCTTTAGCCCCGCTGAAAGATTCATACCCTTGTTCGTATGTTATTTTACCACGAACCCCTGCATCCTTATTTCCTTATATTAAGCAGCCCTCCCCAGGTAACTAAGGAGAATGTTTACTCTTTCTCTGAGTTTAACCTCTCGCCGGAAGACCTGAGGTAAAGTCGCCTCGAAAACTGAACTTCAGTTAAAGTACTCTGTGGTACTGGCAAGTCACAGATAAGTAACTAGCTCCTGAAGTCGCTGAACCTCACGATGTTTCCTCAAGAGTCGTTTGCTCTGAAAGGCACCACGATTCGAGTGCCCTCGAGAGGGCTTGGAACATTCCAGGTAGATCCAAAGATCTATCCAGAGGGCTCAGTAAAAGACTCTGTGCTCCAGGCATTGAAGCTAGGCTACAGGCATATCGATGCTGCCTTTGGGTACGGCTGGGGTCAGGTCGAAAGGGATATCGGCCACGCAATTCGCGAAAGTGGCATTCCAAGGGAAGAGTTATTTATTGTGACAAAACTGTAAGCCCTTCTCTGTCTAATCAAATATTGGCTACATAGTTATCCGCCTACTCTTTTCCGCTGTAGTTCAACGTACTAACTAAATGCATTGGCAACTTTTCTAGACACAATTGCTTTCATAAGCCCGAGGACGTCGAAATCAATATGGACATGAGTTTGGAGAACTTTCAACTATATTACGGTAAGTAGACTTTATCTACTCAGTTCTATTGCCTATATTCGTTGGAATGCTCGATTGAACTAACATGCAGGAAGTGGATTTGTATTTAATGCATTTTCCATATGCATATGCAATTAAGGATGGATATGCCACCCAGAGAACCCCTGACGGAAAGGTATGTAACTAATGGATTGATCTCTATGATTTCGGGTGGCTGTCTTACAATTCACTGCTAAGTACTTCAACAGCCCGTAATAGACGTGCCGCTTTCAAGAGCATATGACGTTACATGGGCAGCAATGGAGAAGCTCGTAGAGAAAGGAAAGGCTAAACTCATCGGTGAGCGACAACGACTTAATAATGATAATCTGCATGCTAAGAAAGGACCGTAAACGACAGGTGTTTCCAATTTTTCGAGCCCAAAGCTCAAGAGGCTCCTCCAAACGGCAAAAATCCATCCGGTTGTGAACCAAGTGGAAATTCACCCTTACTTCCCCCAAAAGGGCCTCGTGGAATACTGCCAGAAAAATGATATCCACGTCACAGCGCATTGCCCGCTGGGGGGAGCGCCTATACCTGTCCTTATAGGCAGGCATGGCCCTGGGCCTCTGGAAGACCCAACAGTAAGTCATGCCGTATATAGGTCAAGCTGGCTGGAACCAGGCCATTAGTTAATTAGTTACTGACACCTTCAAAAAAAACCTCCCCAGCTTCTGAAATTGGCCCAGAAATATGACAAAACCGTTGCTCAAGTTGTGCTTTGCCATACCATCTGCCGTGGTATATCGGTTATTCCCAAGACGAATAATTCAAAGCGGATTATAGAAAACTTTGATATACTTTTCGAGATGGATGAGGCTGATTTCAAGTTGATTGACAACCTTATGGGTGAGAGGGGCGAAAGGGGGATTCGGAACTTGGAAACTCGAGAGTACCTGGGATTTGATAACTTTAACGAGGAGGTAGAAGAGCCCTAGCCTTCTAACGAATTTAGTGACCGACTAACTGGACATTTACTTGTTGCCCCTATATGCTCGCATGCTCGATGGCTAGGGTAACTTGATGGAAAAAAGGCACTATTCTGGATAATGAATTCACTTTGACCCAGACAATCAATGTTTTGCTGACTTCTCTTTCTCCGCTTCTTCCTGTTCCTCCTTTTCTTCCTCCTCCTCTTCCTCTATTTCCTCTTCTTCGTCTTCAGCTTCCTTCTTTTTCTCATCTTTCTCCTCCTCCTCCTCCTCCTCCTCCTCTTCCTCTTCCTCTTCCTCCTCGGTACCTGCAGGGTTTTGTGCCCGTTGAATGAGAGTAGGGCTGTCTTCGGGACAGTATCTACGGTACAGTTCTTTCATATCCTCAAAAACACTTTGTAGTTTCAGTACTATTCTCAGGGAAGAAAAAGGGAGAGTTAATACTCACATTTCCCGCTGGTTGCAGCCGGGAATGAGAATGGATGTTCCAATATTAAATCTCAGCGAGTATAGAAGGTTTCTACCGTCCCAATCCTCCTCTACATTGCGTTAGTTTGAATATAACTGATGTTCATTCTTCATGGGTACCTGGGCCAAGAGGCATATACGTACTCGGCTCCGAAGGAAAAAAATTACGCTTGTAATTCTTCACGTACAGTTTACCGCTCAGACGATGTCTTGGGGCCCTCCAATTTCCGGTGTCATATTCGTTGTGTCCGTAGAAAGAGCCCGCATCGAAAATGAACGGTTCTGTAGTCTGCATGTCTGTTGCCGTATTCTCATCCCAGCAATCTCCATGAAGAAGACATGGTTTGATACTTCTACCTTCACTCTGAAGAGGCTCCAAAAGCCTGGGGATAACTTTTTTCAAGATGAGGTCACACAGCTGCTCAAACTCGGGCCATGACCCATGCTTTTCTAAGTCCATGGCAAACATATGCGCCAGCTGTTTGCGATAGAGGACTGCCCATGACTCTTCCCATATATCGGTGATTTGAGTTATGGTGCCATGACAGGTAGTGGTATGGAAACCAAATTTGCCCGTCGGAGAAACCGACCTCATGTGCATGTCAGCCAGTCTTGCAGTGAACTTGACGGGATCTGGAGGCTGCTTGCCGACATCTCGGAAATCTGTAAGCATGAAGTAACTGTCTTCGTTTTTATATTTCCCGCGGGCCCATGGTTTTGGTGCAAGGCTTGGTGAGACTTCATTGATGGCTTTCATGGACTCAAACTCTCCCTCACACATGATTGAGGCGGATGGTCCTCTGGCTACCTTTTCTTCATTGTCAGCAAGGCCAGTTAAAGTAAAGACTTGAATTAAATAAACTATAATTCGGTATTCCATGCCTTGAGGAAGTATCTCTTGATCGTGCCATCTGGCAACTCAGTAACTATCCGTGCACATCGCCCCCAGAGAGACATTCCATAACTATGGGACGATATGAGCTTTGTGCCTGGGACCGGGAGGCCTTGCCATCATAACCGGTTAGCTAAGGTGGTTATAGACGATGGATAGGTGATGGCTTACTCTCTATCACTGCCTCGTCTAGCGGGAAGCTCCCATATGTGCTAGGCGGCTTGATTTCTTCCTCAGGTGCAACATTATTTGGGCGGTTGACGTGGGGATGATCAGTTGACATAGTTAGCTAATGAAGTCTAGTTAAGCAGCTGGACAACCGTAACTATAAGTCCGCAACAGGCACTCCGAGTGTTTTATTAGAATTTCGACTTGTCCTTCAACGCTGTCAATGGTGCTTTCAGGAGAGTTCAGTTTTGACCAAGCTTGAGACGGCATTCCCCCTCGTCAGAGAGGGGTCATCGAACTTGCCCGGGCACTGGACGCCCATGTATTTAGTTACATAACAAGTTAGCACCTTCATGCACTCCGTAACAGGGGTATATTTGGGTATTTAGAGGTAACCAAAGCAACGGGGGAGCATTCCGGTGCGTGTCCGCCGTACTCGGTAACTAGTCACTCCTCCCACGTTCAGAACGTGGTTAAATGTCGGTCCATCTATGCTCAAGGTCTCCGCAAACTGGGTATTATGAGACATCCGTCCATCTGTGCTCTCAACACAGGGTGGCTGGATATATAACTATTGCCCGTCCCAAAAATACCGAGAACAAGTGAAGCGCCAACGGAGGGGGGGGGGGGGGGGGGGCTGGTCCTGCATCCCGTATCAACGAACTAGTCACTCCGTCCAGGGGTATAATTCGTCCACGGAGGCTCGGCTGCCTTGCTACTCGAAGAATCCCTTGCCTGCAGGCGAGGGATACGCACCCTCGACAAAACGAAGAAAAGAAAAGAGAGCCAGCAAGAAGAAGAAAAGGCCCTGTCCCCGTGGTGGGAAAGCGATTGAGCCCAAGATGGGCTGCACTGCATCCAGGCCTTCCAATCGAATAGTTAACTAACCAATGTCATGTTTTTACATCGTTCCTATCTGGTCGCTCTCCATAGGCACCAGATGATTGTTGAGACAGCGACAGAGCTCCCATCTCAAGTTGCCCGGCGTGTGCATGCGTGTGCATGAGGGTGTGTGCCTGTTTCCAGTTGACAGGACAGGATGGTATGCAAAAGACGGACTCGCCTCTCCCCAACGGCTTCAACCGCAGACTTCTAACTAGCCGTGAGGATGCAGTTCAAAAAGCTGAGGGGCAGCAAGGCAGACCAGGTCCCTGTGGACGAGCCAGAAGAACTCGCGATAGACCCAGGCGCTGTCGCAAGTCATGCTTCCAGCGCTGCCGACCTTCGACGGGCCTCGGAGCCTGTGTTCGCCTTCAAGACATCGCTGCAGCGCAATGAGAGCCCTGACAGGATCCCCCCTCCGTTTCCACGACACTTGTCCACCTCTGGGGCTTCATTTCTCACCGTTGGCTCCCAGCCGTCCCGCAGAAACAGCGGGAAGCGATCGGTTGACCCGCTGGGCCTAACGCTGGTGCATGAATGTGACAATCCTGTTGCAGACCTCATCTTTGTCCACGGCTTAGGAGGCTCCTCGCTGCGGACCTGGTCTTACGATCGCGATGTCGACAATTTCTGGCCGCTCTGGCTGGGCGGCGAAGCCGGGCTGGCCGAGACGAGAGTGTTCACGTTTGGATACAATGCCCATTTTGCGCACCAGGACACGACGTTGAGCATCCTGGATTTCGCAAAGGATCTCCTGTTCAGGGCTAAGATGCACCAAGATAGAGCGAATGAGAATAGCAGGCTGATTGGCGAGGTATGCAATCGCATTGAGCAATCAGATAGACAGTTGGTTAATCACGACTGACCAAGGGGGTGTCACATTAACTAGAATCCGCTCGTTTTCGTGGCCCATTCGATGGGTGGCCTCGTTGTCAAAAAGGTTTTTTGATGCATTTCATTTCTTTCAACTCTACAAGTCAACACGCCTCGCACATATCTATATTTGCTATATATATCATCAATCTAACTTGTCAACAAGGCGTATATATTGGGGAGGACTGATGACCAATATTCCGAAATGATTTCCCAAACATACGGAATAGTGTTTTTGGGAACCCCCCATGGAGGATCAAGCTTTGCATCGACACTGAAGAATATCATTCGAGCAACTCCGACTATTGGATCAAAAGTCTATGTGAACGAACTCGAGAAGGGGTCGGCGGCCCTGGGCGATATCAATGAACAATTCCGGACTGTCTGTGGTGATCTGGATTTGGTTTCGTTCTATGAAACTCTCAAGACTACTATTTCTCCTGGAGTGAAAATAATGGTACGTGGATTGAGAGAGAGAGGTAGTTCACTGGGGCTATAGACTTACCATTTTCTCCCCCTTTTAACTGTTTTAGATAGTTGAAAAGGAATCAGCAATTCTTGGATACCCTACAGAAACTTCGGCACCGCTCTATGCTGATCATCATGGCATCATAAAATTCCCAGACCCTGACGATGGGAATTATCGTGATGTCCGAAACGTTCTGCGGATGTTTGTGCACAGGATTAAGCAGCTGCGTATGTCATTCTTCATTCAACCGCAGTTCTGTGATAGATAGCTAATCTAAATCCCACACAATGTGTCTTCTCTTAAACTGAAGAGAAAAGAAGTGCAAAGCCAAAGCCAGCAGAGATACTAAGCCCTAGCCCAATTACACTTGAAAATGTTCTTGGTATTAAAGAGGTTGGCAGCGATTTGGAGGTTATTCGACAGCGAGTCCAGCCAGGCTCTTGCTGTTGGATCCTTGAAAAAAAAAGAATTCAAGCGCTGGACTGAGGATAACAGCCCCGGTCTATCCATTCTGTGGTTAACGGGTTTACCAGCAACCGGGAAAACAACTTTGTCCAGTTTCATCATTGACTATCTCAGCCAAGGCCTCTTTCCTGCATCCTGCCAATATCACTTTTTCCAGGCAGAGCAACATGATACTCGCACCCCCTCTTACTTTCTCCGGTCAATCGCATTTCAAATTGCAGAAGTATACGATGAGTTTCGCTCTCGGCTTCTAGAAATGAACCGAAGCAGTGGCATTTTGTTATCTTCCCAGAAACATAACGTCATTTGGGAGAAAATATTTGAAGGCCTCCTTTTTCGACTCAATCTCGGGGAACAGCTGTTTTGGGTATTGGATGGCATAGATGAGGCTGAATCCCCATCAACACTTGTGACACTTATTTCTAAGATCAATTCTGCGACACCAATTAAAGTGATCCTGGTGAGTAGAGAAACAAGGGACTTGTCGGCTGCTTTATCCTTTGATCATTGCCAGGTATATCACGAAGAGATTCAAACTAGTGATACCATGGATGACATTCGATCATATGTGTCCACCACACTGCATAGAATCCTCCCAGATGACGGGGAGCAGGACTCCATCATCCAGAAGGTTTTATCCAAAGCGTCAGGTTCCTTTCTCTGGGCAAAACTAGCGCTAGAAAGAATCAAGGATAACTGGCACACTGACGCTGATATTGAAAGAGCACTTGCGGAAATGCCTGAAGGGATGGAACATATGTATGAACGAATGATTCGGATTGTTGCTGATCAGCCTACCCATCTCAGAAAAATGGCAACAGAAATATTAACATGGGGTGTATGCTCCTTTCGACCCCTGGATATCGAGGAACTAGCCGTGGCCCTCAAGTCTAAATTCGGCAGTTTCTATAACTTGAAGGTTACCATTAGCCAAATTTGTGGAAACTTCATCATCACAAAAAAGTCATCTGTGACCTTGATCCATCAAACAGCCCAACAGTTTTTAACCTCTAAGGATGCAAATCTACCTATTTCCATCGACAACAGGAAGGGTCACGAGAGAGTCGCAAGGGTCTGCATGGACTTTCTCTCCGATACCAAATGGCGAACGAGGTTCGCTTCACTCCAACAAACTAGGGACTCAATCCAACAGGACCCTTACACGGAGTTCCCTTTTCTCTTATACTCTGTGAAGTATTGGGCCTATCATGTAAGCTGTGCTTCTGCGGAGTCTGAGGAACTACACGCCGCCGTTTTTGACTTCCTAGAGCGATTTTGTCTAATGTGGATCAATGCCGTCGCTTTAACTGGTGACCTTCAAATTATCACTCGCTCTGCTCAACAGCTCAAGTCATATGCAAAGAGGACAATAAACCGCCGCGTTGAGTCTCCCCCGACCAGCTTCAAATCATGTCGGGACCAGGAGTTAATCCAGTGGGCTAATGACCTTATTCGTTTGGTTGGACGATTTGGGTCTTATCTTGTCGAAAGCCCATCAGCTATCTACAAATACATCATCCCATTCTGCCCGAGCGAGACAATGCTAAGTCAGACGTTCCAACACTTGATGCGTGGATCTATGAACGTAAAGGGCATCTCATCTGGCAACTGGGATGACTGCCTAGCACGATTAATCATGGGTGGAGACGAAACTGCGTCTGCTGTCGTTTGCAAGGACAATTACTTCATAACGCTGCTTGAGGGTAGTGGAACTCTAGTGATATGGATCGCTGAGACCTGTATGGAATATAATAAACTACACCATAACGAGTGGGTGAGCTGTATCAAGGCAGCTAAAATTCGAAACATAATAGCATCTGCGGGAATTGAAACCATCCGGGTATGGGATATTGGACTAGGGAATGAGATACTCAAAATCCCGAAGTCTCACGAGGGCCGTGTAATGGCTTTGGCATTCAGTTCAAATGACAACGAATTGTTGGTTGCATATGACGACTGCACAATCCAATGCATTGGCTTAGAGACTTCACAGGAACTATGGTGTTTCGAAGCCTACGATACATCAAGGCTAGAACATAGTTGCCCCCGATTTATGGTGTTTAGTAATGATTCTAAGAGAATTGCCATTGCGTATCGGGGCCGGCCCGTATTCATCTGGCACATCAGTCGTCGAAAGCAACGCCCGCTTCGGTGTATTCGGCAAGACGATATCTATAAGAACGATGAGGATGTATGGAATTCGCCTGAGGCGGTTATTTGGCAGCCCGACTCCGCCAATGTTCTGATATTATACCAGGATACCAAACTCGTGGACTGGAATATCGACGATGATACCCAGACGGAGCATGCTCACATAGGGGCGCGGGAAATGGCAGTTAGCTCAGATGGGAATTTACTCCTCACTAGCGACTTCAGTGGAAGTCTAAGTGTCTGGTCTACAGGCCAATTCAGACTCATCTATCAAATGAAATATGATGAGTTCGTTCAGGACATTGCCTTTGCGCCGGATGCTCAACGTTTCTATGACATTCGCGGTACTCTATGCAACGTCTGGGAGCCTGCTGCTTTGGTGCGGCCTGATGATCTGAATCGAGAGGATATGAGCTCCCATGATACCCTCTATTCGGATCCCGTTGTTTCTTCGGACGACAACAGCCGAGTGCAGATCTCGGCCTTGGTCTCTAGTGAGAAGACTCTCTATCATTGCTCTGGAAAGGAAGACGGGAGCGTCGTGATTTATGAAACTCAGACTTCTAAACGACTTCGCAAACTATACGGGCACTCAGACATATCGTCGGTTGTTAGCATGGCCTGGTCACCTTCCCAGAAATACATTGCTTCTGCCGACGATTCAGGCCGTGTCATTGCAAAGCGGTTGGGAAAGCCGACAGCCCAGGCACCGCAGAAATGGGCGGTATACCCATTGCTTGATCTCTATCTGGAGGTGGCTGTAACGCAACTGCTCTTCAGCGCGTCTGAGGAGTTTTTACTTATTTCGAGCTCTGCAATGGATGCACTCTGGAGCACTAAATCAAAGTCGAAAATTTTAGAGCTCGAGCACAAGGATCGAAGCAATGGAAGACGATGGATTCGTCATCCAAAAGACGCAAAACTTTTGATCTGCATTCAAGGGAATAGACAAGAGATTTACACTTGGAGTACACTGACCAGGGTCACACCTCCTAGCTCTCCCAAAGAGCGCGTCTCTCTCAAGGGCAAGGTTACTGAAGGCCTTGCCGAGGTTATGGACAATGTCAGTATCAGAGACACTTTCGAAGACGCAAGAGATGTGTTTCCCTCAATGAATACTCTCTTCGAGGCTCCAGACCATGTTTTTCAAATCAAAGATCGCTACATTGTCGTCGGATGTACAGTCTATCGTGGATCTGGCGACGACTCCAGGCTTTATCCAACTTCGTCGAGACGAGTCGAGATTATTGATACAACTGATGCGCAGTTGCGAAGAAAACATCTGGTCCGGCTTTCAGCCCATGTCAGCAGATTGGTGGGTATATTTCAGGGTCGACTTGTCTTCCTTAACCACCAATATTGGCTATGTACATGGGAATTGGGCAGTGATGAGGATTCCTATCGAAAACATTTTTTCCTGCCCAAGGACTGGCTGCTCCCTGGGGCGTTGCAATTAGTCGTCATTGATAGCTTTGGAAATTTACTGTGCCCGAAGAATGGTGAGGTAGCTGTTATCAATTCAGGTATTAGGTTGTGATGGTAATATGTTATGCTTCCGATATTTTCATATTTGTTTCAGAACAATTTTCCTGGGCCGCCCAGGAGTAGCTACTGCCAGGTTTCTCCCCTCCCATGTAATCCTCCTTTCTTCTTGTTACTTATATACAAAACAAAGAGTTTAGAGGTGGAACCCACCGTGTTCTGCGGGCTCACAGAATCTCCAGAAGCCAGCCTCCCTGGCGGCAAGTTGTACGGCACCGAGTTCCTTGTCAGTGACATGTCGATTTATATCACTGTACCGTACCGTCTGCGCTTCTTTCCCAGAATTATTGATTTTTGCCCTCTTCTTCTTTCCAACATGCGCATCTGGATGATACTGTTCCATGATATGCACGTACATATTCTTCGACACATTGTTTGCAAGCCACTTGACAATTTCTATCCCCTCGTCTTCCATGCCGGGCATGACAAGGTGACGGAGAAGAACACCTTGCTTCGCAACACCATCTGCTGTAAATGATAAATCCCCAACCTGAGCATGCATAGCCTTGATGCTCTCCATTGCTGTGGCTGTATAGTTATCTGCCTTGAGCAGCCTTTTCGACGTACTGTCCTTCCATACCTTAAAGTCAGGCAGGTATATGTCTACCAGCCCATCTAGAAGCTTCAGCGAGTCAAGAGAGTCAAATGAAGACGTATTGTATATAATCGGTATATTCAACCCCATGTCTCGCGCATTTAGAATTGACAAGACAACCTGAGGAACGACATGTTCCGGAGTAACGAGATTGATATTATGAACCTTTCCAACAGTCTGGAGTTTCATATACCACCCAGCAAGCTCTTCAGGCGTGAGGTCAAACCCATTTCGCTGATGAGCAATGTCCTGCGAGTCAACGTTTAGCCACGCACCATCAACCATAACGACGGGCATGAAAAACGTACATGATTCTGGCAAAATACACATCTCAGATTACATCCCGAGAAGAAAACTGAGCCACTACCATTCCATCCCTGGATACAAGGTTCTTCTCCAAAATGCGGTGCGATGACATTGACCTTCACCGTCTCGGCTCCGATCAGACAGTGGCCAGTCTTCTCGTATCGGTTCACTCCACACAGCCGTGGGCACAGGTTGCAGTTCCGCAGATGGGCATATGCATGCGACCGCTTCTTAGCTGCATCGACTGAGGAGAGCAGATGGTATCGTGGGATATAAGTGTCTAGGAGGAACGGGGGTGCCAGATGGAGCTGTCGACGGTGAAGTCGAAGCCGCGAAGACGCCGGACGCCATCCTGTCGTTGGTATGATGGATAGAGGTCTTCCAACTGGCATCTTGCCGTGTCCCGGTACATACAGGCTCCTACATCTGACTGAATATACTGCAGCTAGATAGATTAACAACGAGTTGACGATGTTTTCTTCGCGTTGACGTCGAGAAGTTGACGTTGAACTTCTTGGCGCGGCTGAAAAGGAAAAAGCCGCTTGCAACCAGGATTCCTCGGTTCTTTTTGTTTCAGTCAACGACACTTGATAGCTAGCTAGTTATCTACGGAGTATAAGGACGATAGAAAGGACCTGAAGAGGTCGATGAGGATGGCTACAGTGGATGCGATGCTATGGAAGATAAGTGAAATGCATTTGATAGAGATACTATATCGCTAACGGGAAAGCCTAGGGATAAGGATGCGCTTCGTAAGGGGGCTCTCACCCCTCCATGTGGTCTGCTCATGCAATAGGACGCTTGATATCAAGGATTAAAACGACGAAGATGGCATACTGCGGCCATAGGGGATGCGTGAGCGGAGGATGGGTGCGTGACATGCGGATGGAGCGTTTAGTTCGGCAGCTGTCTCGACGGTGTCTGCGCCCCGGCTACGGAAAACGCATATCTGCTCGACGGCCGGCTGGCATGCTGACTCTCTGGCAGGCTATCGGGCCTGCTTCCGGACGTCCCAGGAGTGCTGCTTCCGGAAGTTCCCTCTCCCTCGACCCCCTCGGGCCACTGGACGGTGCTATGGGTCACCCTTCCGGCCTCCGCCTCCAGCTTCCGCCTCTCCTTTTCGCGTTGCTTCTTCTGTCTCCTCCGCATGATCCAATACCAGTCTTCCCCGGCCATACGCTGGTCTTTTCTCTCCTCGTCGCTCTCCCACGGTTGTTCACCTGGCTTGCGTTTTCCAAAATTCTCAATAAACTCTCTTTTTGCTTTTCCTCCGTCGTTGTATGATGCCCACATGCAGTTCCAGCAAGGTCCTTCTATCTCGCCCAGGTACTGCGCATACGGACCCTGCCAGTTATGTTCTTGTGCTTTAGGGCAGTTCATGCCTGGTGGTCGGTCCTCACAGGCTACCCAGTCGACGTCCTTCTCGAGTGCACAGCACTTGTACTTGTAATATTTTCGGTAGCACATCCTGAGCTGTTGTGCTTCGACGGGATCTCCTTTCGGACTTCCGGTATTTTCGTTCTCTATTGCTTTGATGCGTGGTGGTGATATCTAGATAATATTGTCAGGCCTTGACAGTTATATTTGCTTGATGGCGGTCTCTCCACGACCGCCATCCCTTTAAATATATCGCCGAGTGGTTCCATGGTTCAACAGCAATATCGATGATGTCACCACCGAGCCAAAGAGAGTTTGATATTGATGCTTACCTTAAGTTCTTAGGAACCAGGATCCGAGGAAGGCAAACACTAGCTATCAATAACAGGCAGAGGTATGTTTAACAGTGAGGCAGAAGGTAAGGCGGCTTGTTAGAGGAGGTGTGTATGCCTCATACATAGGTTGGTCGGCTGGTGAAGGTCAGTCTCTATCAAAGTATCTTAATTCATTATCGAGTCAATCAGAACGGTGGCGAAGAAGAAGAAATGAAGTAATATTAAATATCAAAACAAGAAGAAGAAGAAGCAAAAGGAAAGAGAGCCTCTAGGCCTAGTGAAGTCCCGTGATATCAACAGTTCCAACCATGATTACTCCTGGTGTCTTTCTAGTCTACAAGTAACAACTAGAACAAAAACTTCACTGCTACTAACAATATCTGCCTTGGACAGCTGACTATGAGATGCTAGTTGGCTGCAGGGTTGCAGACTTGCTAGGTAGGTAGCTAGAAATGCACTGAATCCACCTGTTTGCATGAGTCCGGGGTTATCCTCCTATAAACTCCCTAGCGGCTGCGGCGTAGCGGTTGGTAACCCCCTGGATAAGGCTAGCTATTTGAATGGCCAGGGAGCTTTGCAGCCTGGCTACACAGCTAGATTAACTATTTTCAGCAGGCAGCAGACCCAGACTCACATTGTCTTTGTGTACTCTTATTTTGCAATGTGCAGAGTCACCAAGGGCAGGACAAACATGGCACAGCAAAGATATTGACAAATATCTACTACTAAATACCAGCAGGTAGCCATTTATTAAGCCAAGTCACACCCTATTCCGGACTCCAAAACCGCATTAGCCGGTGTGAATTGTACCTGTCTATTTCAGCCCCGCACTGAGATGTCAAAAGCAACAGTATATAGTAGCAGGGCAGGAAGGTGCTCACCCAGCTCTTCTGAGTGCACTATATAAACCAGCTCTTCTTCTGGCCATCGGGATGCGAATTGCAAATCTTCAAAACTCCAGCTAAAAGCTTCAACATACGTATGAAATAATATGTAAAGCCAACATGAAAATCTCCTGGGCTATCTGTGCCACTTTCGCTGCTCTCGCGATGGCTTCGCCAAAGACACCGACCGGTCCTGTCAATCTGCGCCGCCATGTAGGCCGACAGCGCTATAAGCCTTTCGACTGCGTTCTGCTAACGTAGCTCATGGTATAGGGAGAGCGCTGCAGCCGTTTTTGTTTTTCTGATTGGGAATGTGACCCGCCTAACTGGGGTTGCTTCCGATGCGAGGTATGTGGGTTTTTGATAGCATAGCCTTCCTTTTGGCTATAGGAATCACTAATAAGCTGGCCATCGAGCAGATGAACAGATGTGTTTATTAATGCGCCACTGGGGCGAAATGATATGCTTGACGAGCTTTGGAGTATTTTGGGCATGTTTTATTGATCGGTGGTTAACTGATATTCGGGGTGGGCATCGAGGCGACTCTCTCTTATTCTCTGGATAAACCAATAGTGTCATCTTTAGGCAAATCCAAACATATTAATGAAACTTATCGCTTTCTCTGATCTATTGCGTCCAGCTCCGTATATTGAATGGGTCAATATACTAGTATTTTTTAAAAAAGTAGCCGACCTTCTTTGGGCAACGACCTGGACAACCCAGAACTGGGGGACGGCATAGGAGTACCGATATAAAGTGTCGGAGAGGAGACCTTTGTTTTTAAATTGTGTGGGAAATTGAAACTGAAGCCAGCATCATGCGGCAACCACACGACGGGCCGGGCCGAGACACAATGACGGATAGTAGACCATCCCTTTCAGCATCAAGCTGGACCAGTCTGTGAGGTTGGTCTGACATGGAGTTAGTTGACCCCCGCTTGATGCGATATTGAGAAGTCACGCGTAGTTGGAAATAGTGTTTATGTCGCAGGATCTAGTTATTCAATCAGCAATATGTGTGTGTAACGTTTTGTTTTAGAGAGACATACTATAGTCCACCATGTCGTCATACTCACGATCGATTGATTCGCCTAGCTCATTATCCGCTATCAAGGGAGATTGTACTCGAGGTAGATAATATGGAAGAAAGTGGGAAGAAGAAGTTGATTGTGAATGTATATTCATTGAGATTGTTGCTCATCTTTGCTGTCGTATTTCGGCTATCGACATGCCGGTCTTGGTCTCGCGCGTAAGCGTATAAAAAGTGGTAGAAAACCGTGGTAAATAAAAGGCATATGTATACATCCCATCTTCATCTCTCTTTTCAACACCAAACACCAATCAACACCGAACAATCCGAAAAGGTGAAGAAACAAAGGTAAAAGTACAAGGGAGAAAGTAAGTGCAGGAGAAGATGTCAGGATATGCAGCCCGTCTGGAGAGTTCCAAAAAAAATACAGAAGATCATCCGCTAAATGCACAATGTGGAATGGAAGAAATTTATATACAGGGGGTCGAGGTAAGCGGTATAAAGGAGAAAATGCGGCGGGAAATCGAGGGGTTGGGTATCATTTAGGAGAAGAAGTATTGGCTCTCTTTGAGGCGACGGACGTCGAATTCACCCTTCTTGGGGACTTCACGGAAGGTCAAGGGCAGCCAGACCCAAACAGAAGTAGCTTGGGCTTTTGATTTCTTCTTCGGCTTCACGGATAGTTCTGCATCCGCCTCGCATTCCTGGGGCTCTTTGGCTTCAAGAATTTCTGGTACTGCGTCAACTGGAGATGAGCTGCTCTCTGCTGTCATTGCGTCCTCGAGTGCCTTCTGCTCTTCTGGAGGAGGAACGTGGCCCATACCAGCAACACCAAGAGACTGAACAGACATCAGAGTATCATCCGCCCCCTCGGTTGCTGCAAAGAGGCTTCCAGGAGTGATCATATTTCGACCCTGCTCTTGCTCAGCAGGATCTTCTGACTTGAGAAGTTCAATACGCTTGTACTCTTCTAAAAGTTCGTAAACTTTGTCCTGCTTTCCTGACCGCCCCTTGGCCTTACGGAGAGCTTTAATTTTCTTGGCCAGGGGGGTGTTGGGCCGGACTTGAGCAAGGTAGAGGTTGTTCGAGTATCTTGCATTAAATTCCGCAGCCAATCTACCGACGATATCATCTGAATGCATGCGAACGAATGCATCACGCAGAACACGGTTCATCTTATCAATGTCACCCGCATGAGTCCAGAAGGAATCGTGAACAGCGGAAAAGGTAAGGCCGAGCTCGTCACATTTGATAGCAGACAGCATCATGTGTGTGGCATCGAGAGAGTGGATGAAGTTTGGCGGGAATGCCTGCAGTTGCTTTCGACGATTAACTTCATTTGCTCCACGGATGTCTTTAATCGTGCAAAGCTGCAAGCTAGTTGGAATCTGACGCGCTTTTGCCTCCCTGTATGGCTGAACAACCGGGAGTCTCAGGGGTGTGGTCCAGATAACAGAGTTATTGAACTTCAAATTCTTCGACAAATCGGTTTTTGATGGCGAGTCAAGCTCTTTACGGATCTCGTCGATTTGACTGGGATTGAGAGAGCGGGTAACTCGGTTGGCGCAGTCTCCTAGCCAGAACTGGATATCGTGTGCACCGCTAAACATGGAATTCAAAGCGGAGAAGATTGCTCGGGAAACGTGAACTGCACATTTGGAAATTTCGTCGGATTCCGCAAGCTCCGGGTAGTGATCTTCGATTTGTCGTCGAACTTGCCTGGTGGCGCCAATAAAGGTGACGCCGTAAACGTTTGTCATGACGGTTTGTTTCACAACCTTTCGAGTAATCTTGCCATCCATCAGCTTTGCAATAGGATCCCCGGCTTTGGCGTCACTAGCAATTGAAGCTTTGACATGCTCAGCAACTGCAGTGTAGATATCTGAAGGGCGGTCACCAGGTTCGAGGTTGACTTGACGAGCACCGATTGCATCACCACCAAGTGCCGCATAGTGTTGCAGACCGTTGCAAGAACCATCCTGGTGTACTGGAAGGTGAGAAACGTATTGTGTTGGATCAGGTAGACTAAGAGCGTTCTTCAGTTCTACACAAGCGGCCAAGCACTGGAATGGATCAGCAGCCTGTAGCCACCACCGTTTCCCCTTCAATCCGTTGTTGGCAGAATCCAGAATATCCTCGACGTGGTCAATGGCGAATTGTTCTCTTTCTTGAAAGCTTGCCTTGTCGAATCCAAAGACGTTCGAAAGATGGATTCTTAGCCATCTTAGACCGCTTTCGCCGAGAACTCGTCCCTCACTAAAAAGAAGCAAGCCACGGCAATTGTCTGCTCCCATTTGGTTGAAGTATGGAGGAAGAGGGTAGGCCCGTCCACGGAAATCCATGTTGTGAGGGAGATAGAACGATTCGTTGAGGTATGCTCGCGCAATCTCCATTTGGAAATTCAAGTAACAACGCTGAGAATGGTTACCCATCTTTTTGTTGTCAGCACGAGTCTTTGCACGGTAGTAAGCCTTCACAGCTTCGTGATCTTCCGCATCCGGCTTTTCCAGCTCCGCAAGGTTGAGATTGGCAGCAACAATGTTGGCGACCTCTTCTCCAGAGTTCCAAGCCTCGAGCATCACATCGAAGACCGGACGGTTGATTTTCCAGCCTGTCTTTCCAAGGATAGTTAGACCCTTATAAAGCTCATCCAGGTCCCCTCGATCCGAAGCGGCTTGTAGATATTGGCTTTGAGCATCATCATGTCGAGTACGAACAACTTGTGTTGGCTGGGTCAAAAATCCACCTTGATTGTTTGATACCCATGGCCGTGGAGTTGAAACCATCGGAAGATGTTTCGCGAGTAGATTCCCAGACGGCTCCTTTCGTAGCCTTTCGACCACCTTTTCGTGAAGCTGAACATACCCGACATTATGCCCTTTTTGCAATTGGTAAACGTGTTGAAATGCAGGCTCCTTTGCATACGTAACCTTTTCAGTTACAGGATCTTTGTGAGAGGTAGGTATCTCGGCGGTAGAAAATAGCATTGAAGATAAAAGAGCCCCGATTTTTATTTCAGTAGAAGCAGGCCAATGCACAGGGGGTTGGTCCTTAGTGTGCTTCTGCATGTAAGATCTGAACTTTCCCGTCGAATTGTATACTTTCATTTGTCGGAATGTCTTGTTGAGATAGTAAACCTCATTTTCGCTTTGAGCCTCCTCGATAGCTGACCGACGGGTGGTTTCGATGATGTATTCGTCCTTTACAGCGCGGCCAATGTTGGTAAACAGAGAGCTCAGTTTAATGCCTTTGTCCATTCCGGAGCTTCCAATGGATCCTAGAACGGACAGGATAGTGACTGCGGCAAGCTTGCTTGGACCGATGGCCAGTAGAAATGGGATGTATTCGCATCGTTCGCTTTCCTCTGGGGTCAGTTTCTTTTTCGACTCCGATCGTTTGGCCAGTTCCAATTCTTCCTTGATTTTACCGAGGACACCCTGATACCATTCATACATAAATGCATTCAGTTTCGCTTCCACTTGACGCCTTTGTCCAATGGCTCCCTCGCTCTCTTTTCTCCAACGCTCAATGGCTGATGTTAGAGAGTCTCTCTCGAGCTGCTCTTGCCTCAGACGCTTCCTATTCCGCTCCCTTTCTTCCGGTGTTCGGCCCCAGAGCTTCTTTGGGGTGAATTCGGTTGAGGGGTTAAACAGGGAGAGAGATTCCTTCAGGGACTCGAGGCCCAATCCCTTTTGATCGGTGTTGAGGATTTCATTCGGTGGCAGAACGGATTCGTCGGTAACTTTAGGTTTCAAATCTAGTTCCATATCTGGGCCAGCCAAATCGGGCTCAACATTGCCTGCAGAAGATTCCGATACATGGAAGCAGATCTATCAAATTAATTCAGCGTTCGCCACAAGATTTTGGCCAAAAGTTATCTGACTTATCACCTACCTCGGAAAGCAAACCAAGTTCTGATTCAGGTAAGATTGATGATTGAAGAATGTCCTCGTGGATGCCTCTTGATACCGCAGACTGCCAGTATCTCCGGACCGTTCTTTCGCGTTTTGGGCCAGCTAGCATTCTTAAACTCATACGCAGCATCCACGCAAGGGTGATGGCATCAGGCTTAACCGATAGCAAGCCCATATCAACCTCATACCACCTTTGGGCATACCATACAAGATCTGGCTGTCGATTAACAATCATATAAGTTATCATGGACCGTAGATACTTGTTGTGTAGGTCGAGCAACTCTGGGGATCCCTGGGGGTATGCGGCAGCAAGACGACGAAGCAGGAGGCTGGCACGCTTAAACATGCCAGCCGATAAGCTGACATCCAGATTGATAAGCATTTCATCGAGGTCACCACCAATGCTTTTTATCTTTCTTAGAGATGTGGGTTTTGAGGATAGAAGGGGGTTGAGGATGATCACAGATGAAGCGTCTCGATCGACCGGATCTGACGGGTCCGATAGAGGAGGTCGAGAAGTGAACTGAGGGGGAAGCGTATCCGGCTCTTTCACTGGTTTGTACGTATCCAAGCCTTCAAACGGGATGTAGGTAGAATGATGGTCATCCATGGCTCCCCATCGTACCGTTGCCAGAGAACGAGAGGTCGGCTGAACGACAATTGAGGCGGCATTTTGCTTCGCAGTCGGGCGAATTGGGCCGCATTTTGTCGTCAACTGGGATCGTAAAAGTGCCGGGCATAGCCAAGGTAGCACAAGAGGCTCATGAGCTTGTCGTAGCCTGTAGAGGGCATGTTTTCTGTGGGCTACGCGGGAGAGCATGGCTGTGGTGAGGGCGGAGGAATGAATTAGAAAGGGCACAATTAATTGTAATAATAATCAAACAAGTAAATGAATAACATCAGGTTTATCAATTAATAAAACAACAATAGAATGGAAAGAAACGAAAGGAGTTTTTGGCCGCATTCAACCCCTTGAAGCTCGCTCGAAGAACTTGAAGAAGTCGAGTCGAAAACTCGATAAGATCCAAAAAACTTTTTGACGTGGAAAAATTTCGTTCCTGATTCACGTGACATGCAGGTCACAGCCGGGCAGTTGCGCTAGTCCCGATACGGAATATCACCAAGTGACTTCGGAGCGGAGAAACTAAAGTCCGTGTATAAATTTCATGATGAGGCCACCGCAAGTGCGATCCATGAGGTGAAGGATACCGGGCTATGAAAGAGTAAGAACGTAGACGGACGACGAGGTGATAGGTGTTGGAATTTACTATATAAGATAGCTAGGCCATGGTTATATCACCGTCATCGTCACCATCATTTTCGGCCTGAGGCTTTCCCTTTTTATGGCTACTACTTGCTCTCCGTATTTGCTGTCTCCTCTTCATTGCCCAGCCAGTCATCTCGGGCCTGGTAGGGTCGACTCTGGGAGCACTCATGCTATCCAGATAATCGTCTGCTGTGATAGCCGACTGCAGTTGAACAGGCTCTTCAAGGCCTTCGTTAAACATATACTGGTCATATTTATCCCATGATTCTTGATCCTATATTTAAATAGAGATTAGCAGTTGTCAACGGACAGACGGAATCTTGAAGTATGCATACATTTTCATCTATCCATCTGTATTTCTCCCACTTCTCATCTTGGAAGAGCTTGAGAAGTAGTTCATTGTTTCCAACTGCTCTGGCGCCTTCTGTGTCTGCAGACTTGACTTTCATGTCGATTGCTCGAGCTTCCATGGCAGCGTTTCGCGAAGTTGAATCCTCATCCATATCTTTCTTAGCCTTGGCCATCGCCTTGCTTTTCACAGATACTTCATCATATGCATCAATATGATGTAACTGCGGTCGAAGCTGCACTACTGCTTCCAGCGGTGCAAGATGAAGTTCGTCTAGAGGATCAATTAGTTAAACTGTCGCATATAGACAGGAAGAGTATACTTACTATCTCTAAAAGCCCCCAGCATGTAAACTGGGTCTCCATCAACTGGCTTCTTTATCCTTCCTCCCAAGACCTGTGTAGTCATCTTGACACCTGCCTTCCTATCTTCATCATCCATATCCATATAAACATTCACATCATCCGCCCCTGTACCTTCTGTTTTGAACTTCCCTATACCACCACCGTTCACATTGAATCCACCCGCCATACCATGGGAGCCATTCTCTTGCGTAATTCTACTTTTGGCTAGCGCATTACCGTACCGTAGACCCTTGACCTCGTCGTAGTTCACCTGAGTATCAATCGGTATATCTAGTTCCACGAGGCCAGTCTTGGGCTTCAGTCTGAATTCTAGCGGCTTTTGGCCGATGGAGTCGTTGTATGGTTGGTCGGCGGGGCGGTCAGGGTATTGAAGGAGTAATCGGCGGATTTGAGAGTCAGTTATGAATATGTCGTACGATGCAGTTATAGGGTCATCGTCTTCCTGGGCATCCGCTGCTTCAGTCAAATGGTTGTTAGCTACGTTGTCTGACTCGAGCGGGACGCTTGATTGTTCGCCATGACTTACGGGGCATTATGAATTAATAGGTGCAAGTAGTTACTTAGGTATGCAGTCCCAAGTTCTAGCAGCTACAGGAAGGAAATGAGCTGCGATCTTGGTGTTGGGCTGCTTGCCATATTTTCGACCTTTTTTTTTTTTCTTTATCGGTGTCGGCAAGAAGCTTATCAAGAGGGACGCATAACTTCATGCCAAGACTCCAGTTAGGCGCGCGCTTCAACTCCAAAGGTTCGACATTTTTCTACGTCTGACAATGTCTTCATGTAGGAACTTTGGTTTCTAGGTGCTCAAATGTCCTGAAGCGAAGCCCGGCGTACCCCCAAGAGGAAACGGAAGATGTGATACGAATCCAAAGATCAAAGTCGATCTCTCTTTTACTTCAATAGTATAAGTAAAAATACCTAGAATAAACCATAAACCAATCAACCATGAAGCAAACAAAACAATAGAACACAGAAACCAGTAACTCCTGATAGACCTTAAATCTCAAATAGCTCAACTCAAGCATGCTCACAAGGTGAGATAAGTAGACGGAACTGGTGGGAAAATGACTGCCAAAATAATCAGACAAGATGTAGCTGTCTAGATAGAGCAAATAGAATGGATTAGGATATCTAAGGGGGCATAAAGGGGATATTATAGCGTTATATATATACGAGCGAGATTATCGCTGAGGGCCTGTAGGGTGGTTTTCGAAGAGGTCTTCGAGGTATGCGCTGGGTGCGCGGCCCTGTGGAGGTGACGAGAGGTTTACACTGCTTGTAGATGGATGAGTTTGTTCATATCTCCGCGCGTTAGGTGATAGAGCAGGCGAGTCGGGAGGCGTTGGCCCTGTAGACCTTGTTCGTGAGTAGCCTTGTGATTGGGGACCAAGAGGAGCAAGGCCAATTGAGGATGTGCTGTGTTGAAGGCCTGCTCCCGAGCCAGGAGTGGCCCCGCTAGCTGCATAATAGCCTGCCGGGAGATATCCTGAGGCTCTGTTGCCGGAAGCGTGCAAATTGCTCGCTCCGGCAGTCGGGGAGAAGAAAAGACTGGAATTTGGCGGTTGGCTTTTGCGGTGAAGAGCAGAGTGTCGGTTGCTAGACGTGTTTCCGCTGTGGAGTTTCTCAAGGGACATGGATCCACCTCTGGATTGGCGGTAGGCCTTGCTCTTGCGCTTGGACGGGTTGAGAAGGGCAGCTGCGGCGTCTGTTTGGTGTGCGGTTGCAGCACGGCGAACGGAGCGGTTGATTGACCAAGCAACGAGTGCACGCCAAGCAAACACAGCGACAAAAATAAGTCCAAGTCCCGCTCCCACGCCAATGAAAACAGTTCCCTCCGGCAGGTTGGAATGCTGCAGGTACGGAGCGTTCTTTTTAGGCGGGATCGTGGCCGTAGGGATTTGAGGAATACCCGTAAGTGTGGGCAAAGAGAAACCTGGCCCACTGTCTGAATCAGAATTGCTGGGAAGAGAAATGGAAGTCCTTGACTGCGACTCCTTTGTCGTTGATGGCTCGCTTTCCGTGCTAGCGCCAAGTGTCGGTAGGTTCACCGTCTCACCGGGCTTCTTGTCATTCGTACTCGCGGGGGAAGGAGGGGAAGGTTTCGGTGCATTATCAGTGTTGTCTGGTTTATTGTCATCCTTTAGCTTATTTTCAGTCGGCGCAGGGGCCGGGTTCGACGCAGGTGTATTCGGGTGGTTATCTGTCTTTGCAGGTGGTGGTGGGTTATTGGGTTGTGCGGGATTGTTGCCCGGCGCTGGATTCTTGTTATCCTGAGCCATCGTATGGCCTGCAAAAAGAGCGAGGCATATGAATAGCAAGCAGAGGAGGAGTGACGAGCGAGAGACTTTGCCTCGTGAGAGCCTCATGCTGGCGGTTGTTCGGACGAGCTGAGCAAAGATAAAGTCCGGGTTAGGGAGCGTCTATGCCAGTTATATAGCGAGTCTCAAATATAATGGACGCGAAGCGAGAGAGAAAAGCCTGAATTATCCAGTTTAGTCTTCTGTTGCTGGGCCAGTGACGGATTTATTTACTCACTTATTAAAGGGGGTGATTTAGAGGCGACGAAACGGCTGAGCTGCCATGTCAAGGCGCGGCTTAATCGGGAGGCAGCGGACGAAGATAAACCAGAGCGCCAGAAACGAGCGACCAGACGCTGGATATGAGTATCTATAGCCGACAGGTGGTGCTTCTTCGACAGTGGTTATTTTGCGGCTCCTTGTCTTGTCTTTGATGTTTGCCGCTGCAAGTTTGATTTGAAGTCGCAGAGACAACAGCCCAAAGGGGAAAAGCGCGCCAAGACTGGTGTATATACAAAGAACGGGAGATTCATGTGAAGATGATATATTAAGTAGCTGGATAGAGGGACAAGACGTGCTGCGTAAACAAGTATACTGATGAAAATACAGAGACAAGAGAGACGACAGAGTACGAACGAGATGACCCAAGAAAAATGAAACCAACCCCGAGCTCTAAGCGTGAGAGACTACTGCTTATTGCTGCTTCTTGCCAGCAGCGCCAGCAGGCCCATTCTCCTTATCAAAAGACGCGTACGAGACCTGCAGACTGTTCAAGGCAGAAAGACCGACATAGAGAATAGTACCTAGGATGACAGTGGTGATCAAGCCCATGAAAAGACCTAGTCGCGTTAGAGGATAAATAAAATTATTAATAGAGAGGTCGGAGTCCTTACCTGGGCTTAGGAACTGGTAGTCGGTGAACAAAGAGCCCTTCTTCTTGTTCTTGTGCTTATCGTCGTGTGAAGCTCGACCCTGGAACTCACGCTTGAAGGTGAGGGGGTTCTGGAGAGGGTTACCACCCATCTCGAAGTGGCCAATATCGGCTTCAGCGATTGGCTCAGTTCCCCGTGGACTGGTTGTGTATAGGACGGTATAGTTGGAGGATGGAAGCAGGTCGATTAAGGTCGCAAGGAATCCATCTATATCCAAGGATTAGAATATACCAGTTAAAATACGGAGTACCGCAGTACAGTGTTGTTGGGACAGACCGTTTTCAACGAGCTGACTCGACCTGCTGATATCTGTCGGTAGAGCAGGAAATTCAACCATTATAACCTGTGGTCGGTGCTTATATCCTGATGGAAGGACTAATTAAAGTCAGTCGGTATTCCATGTACAGTGTAGTCCAGGAGAAAGCAAGGCGCCACCACCTACCATCACCGTTAACCACAATCGTCTCGGCCTTGCACTCCTTCTCTAGCTGCTTTTGTAGTGATGCAGCATCGAACTCGCCAACCACCTCACTAACGGAAAAGCTCGACTTGATAAGATCATCCTTCTGCAATACTCGTTCTCGTAGTCGCGGAGCTGATCTCCGGTTGCTGAAGTCTAGAATATGCACGCCGGGCTGGGAGACTAGAATATAAAAGTCTGAGGGACATGAAGAGAGTTCCGTCGAGACCGATGAAAGTAGAGAGCTCGCGGATTGGAGTTGGGAGGACTGTGTTTTGAAGCTGGGAGAAGTATATATGTTAGCCTCAGCTACTTGATGGCTTGCTGTTTCGAGTGCTTACCTGTTGGTCGAGAAGAGGAAGAACGGAGATGTGTCTCTGAATGCATCAGCAGAGGAGGCGATGGCGCCGAGGGCCAGGAGCCCGCACGTCTTTAGCTGCATCGTGATGGGTTGGTTATCGTATCTGGTGCAGGTCGATTCAGTTTCACGATCCTAACTGCGTCCTTTGAATGAGCAGTTCGGGCTATGGAATGGTCACGTGATGAGAGGTAGCTGAGGAGGGCTTACATTTAAGAATTCAACAACTAAATAGCTTGATAGTGAATATAACTAATGGCATATGCAATGGGTATCATACATGCAAAGGGCTTGAGGTCGTAGCTGAAGGGGTTGAGCAATTATGTGCATTAGAAAAAGAGCAATAATACCTTCGAAGCTAGGATATGTAGGTACAGTTCTTAAAATGTGGTTCAATAATTAGCGGCATCGACATACATCAATATAGCAACATTAGACAAGCTGCAGTATGACATGCATAGTGATACTTCAGTAGTAGGTGCTGGTGCTGTTATTTAATATAGTCAATATTCAGAACTGCCAAATAGATAAATATATTTGAAAAGCGTATTTACCAACAGTCAACCGCGATGCGAGCCAGAAGCTACATATGATTGAGTCTCTTCTCCTGCTTTAGTTGAAAATGACTTTGCAGTATCTTCTCTCATGTCGTCTATAATACATCACCAGATAAATAGAACTATGAGAGGAATAATAATAGTTGCGAGAGGAGCAGATAGAAGATGCCAAGCTTTACGTCAAGCGCCAAGGCCGAGATAAAAAATGCGAGTTTAAATAAAATAAATTCAACTCTAGACCTCGATAGACAACAGTAGCTATTATTTCTGGTATGAGACGACTCCATGCTTGATTAACTGCGCAGACAAACTAAACGATACAGCTACATCTACACAGAATACACAAAAATGCGCCCGCCGACCAAGAAACGAAAAATTGCGGCCCCCGCACAGCCGGAGGAAATATCATTCAACCCAGACTCCCGGGCAGAGTTTCTGACCGGATTCCACAAGCGAAAAGTACAGCGCGCGAAAAGGGCCCAGGAGGCTGCGGAAAAAAGAGCAAAGGAGGAGCGGAGAGAGACGCGGAAGAAGGCAGGATAGCGTATATCTGCAATTGACCGTGGACCAAAGCTAATGGCTGAGCATAGATCCGACAAGAACGAAAGGCAGAATTCGAAGAAGCGTTGAAGCGACATAGAGCTGAGATGGAGGCGCTGAATGGATTCCCTGCCACGGAGGAAGAGTCTGGGTCTGGCTCGGAGCAAGACAGAGACGATGACGAGGAAGAAGAATGGGGCGGAATTGTCGAGCCACCGCCTGTGGACTACGAGGCTGAATATATTGACGAGGATAAATATACGACCGTCACTGTGGAGGAGATTGAAGCTACCAGGGAGGGGCTGGTGCCAAGGAGAGAAATGAACGACAAAAAGGACGATGAATATGAAGATTCAGGAGACGGAGAGGAGGAGGAAGAGGAAGAGGAAGAAGGAGACAAAGAGAAGAACGACGGAATGTCGAAAAAGAAGAAGATATGGATGAAGGATAACCCGAATAAAGATGTGAAGAAGAAACGGAAGCGGAAGCGGGATTTCAAGTATGAGAGTCCGCTGGAAAGAAAGCTGAATAGAGCTAAGGAGCGTGGGAGGAAGAAGAAGCAGGCTGAGGCAAGGAAGGCTAAGAAACGGTGATATATACCACCTTTGAATAGGCATTATAGAATATAGAGCATGGAGTGTAAGCGAATGTACTTGAATTGTTGATGCACATTTATGTACTTTGATAAAGGGGTATGATCACACTCCAGTAGAAAGGGTGGTAAAAAAACGTACTGGAACGAAGCAAGACTAAAAGACATAGTGATGGAAGACAGAATTAAAAGTATTTCCATGGTTGTTGTAGAATGGTGATAAGAGGCGTATAAAGGGCAAAAGGGGGCTCTCGTGACAGAGGTTTAATTTTTATCTTGTGCATTCTAAAGCTCTAGACATCGCTGATAGACCGTTCCAGCTCCTTGAGCTCCTCCTTGACAGCAGCGTACTGCTTCGACATCTCCTCGTACTTGGTCTCCCATTGCTCGCGTGTGGCCTCGAGAGCCTGGACTTTGCGTTCGAAGTGTCCGGCCTTGACGTCCGTTTGGCGTAGCCTGCAACAGAATTAGCATACATATTCATATAGAGGCACCTGTGGAGAGGTGTGAACGCACTTCTCGTTGGTTTCTCTGAGGGTCTTGTCGGTCTGCTCGGCCTCTTCCTCCATGAGTTGTATACGGCGCTGCAGGGCCTCATTCTGTGAACTGTCTTGAGCCGCCTCGCTCGCTTTGGCCTTGGCCTCCTTGAGGGTGACTTCGAGAGTCTCTACCCGCTGCTCAAGTAGCTGGTTCCGGTGGGTGAGAGAGGTTACCTCTTGTTCTTTGGCTAGGTTTTCTTGCTCTAAATCTTTAATGCGGGCCTTTTGTTCTTCGATCTTTGACTGGCCATCCTCGATCTCCTGACGCATGTTATCGATTTTCTGCCATGGGAGGTCATGGTTAGCATGGGTATCGTGGTGCAAGGACAAAGGGACACAGTTGGTGGATGACGGGGGTCTTTCTGGGTGTTCTTTTTCTCCCCAGGCAAGACTGGTGCCCCGCGGCAGCGGGAGGCAGGCTGTAAACGTACCCGCTTGATGCCGTCCATGGTGGGCTGGTGTGGGCTATATTGACTGGTAGTACGGGCTTGGAATGGGCGTCCTTCTAGGTCTGTCTGCGGATGTTAAGTATCTGGGCAAAGAATATGGCTGCCTGCGTCTGCTGCTGTGGAAGTAGATGCTTGATACTCGGAAAAAGGAGTAAAGGAGCTTCCATTGGGGGAGGCTTACGTAAGTTGAAGTGGGTTTGTCACGTGAGAATTGTTTCTGACTGGCGCGGTTGCCGGGGCGACAGGGCGGAGGGAAAACAAGGCAGGCGATGGCGAGACCCCAAGGGGGAGACAGCCAGTTGGTAGAGAGACGACAAGCAGACGACAGGATCAAGATGACGAGTGGCTACTACGCGACGACGAGTACTGGCTGAGATACTGATAAAAGCGATATATAGAGACAGAGAGAGAGACGATACAGCTGGAGAGATGTTGTCTATCCGTGGACAGGGCCAGGAGAACCTGGTGAACGCGCACCAGACGGCTGCGGCCTCAAAGCCGTTGAACCAGGGAATGCGACATCTCCTGCCAAAGACGCCGGGCAAACTGCCACCGAAAACGCCGTTTAGACTCCCTCTTCAAGATGAAAATAGGCCACTTACGTTTGGGAAGGGGTTGGGCCCTGGGATAGGGAAGAGTGTGGTTCTCAAGGGACAGGATGAGAATGCGGCTCTGCAGGGCAAGGAGAAAGGCGCGGAGAAGAATACTTTGGCTACTCCGGCTGGTGAGTAAAGTGGTATTTTCCGCGCCTGAATATGTGCTGTGTTAGGATGGGATAGCTAATGTGGCTTAAGGCATGACGCGGGCGCCGCTCGGGATGAAAACGACTAATGCAAAGGCACGGGCATTCCAGACTCCGGCCCCTACCATGCCGATAGGGACGATTAAGCAGAGAAGTGCCAAACGGGGGTCGACCCGCAAGGTCAAGAAGGCTGCACCATTGCCTGAACAGACCACGCAGGAGAGGACCGTTGCCGTGGAGGAGGAGGAGGAGCCTGAGAGGGAGATTGAATACATGCCTCCAAAGCCAAAGCGTGAGTCAATTTGGTCTGGTGCGATTCACAGTGTGCTGATTGAGTGAAATAGCCCTTCCTGACGATGATGGATATATTACATACGACACTACCTTCCCACACTTCAAAGGAAACAACTTCGCCCGTGGATGGGAGAAGCTCTATGAAGACACCTCTGTGGGTGAGGATGGATTGACAGCCAAGCAGCGAGAAGAGAAAGAGCTCGATGATGCATATAACAAGCACATTGAAGAATTGATTCAAGCACAGATTGATAGCATTGGGTCCCTTGAGCTAGAAGGAGAAGAGGATGCCAAAGCGGAAGCAGAGGAGTGTAGACCTGTTAGCCGAGCCACCACCAAGTCGCAGCGGTCAGAGAGAACAGTGTCTACTCTCCGATCAAAGAGTGCTGCACAGGCTCTAGCTATGGACCCAAAGGAGAGTGTACGGACCAGGAGTTCGGCCAGACTGGCTGCAAAGGCCGCTGCAAAGGCTGCTACTGCAACAACAAAAACGACAACAACAAAACAGAAAAAGACGACAGAGCCAACTAACCCATCTTCCATGCGTCATGCAGCCGCCGTGGCCAGCTCAAGGAGCACTCTGGGATACTCCAAGGGGCGTGAGGCACTGGCTGCCCTGAGAGAAGGGACTGACCAGCCCAAGAGCAGCTCCAAGACCAACAAGTCAACAAACAAGACCGGCGAGCAGGAGAATGAAACAGACCACCTCTCACCAGAGCTGTACATGCAACTCTATGGCCCGCCTGCGTTTGGCACTGATATGTGGTCTCGGTGTAAGATCGCCGGCTACTTTGACGACGAGGTCAAGACGACCGAAGAGCTTTTGGGTATAGACAGCACCAACATTGACGATGCCTTTGTGGAGGACGAGGAGAGTGCTAATTTCCAGCTTCTCATCTAAGCCAGCTCCTTTTATCTTTTTCTTACCTATCTTATTTTTCTATCTCTTCTGGAGGGGGGTCAGGGGGGGAAGGGGGGAAGGGCGCCAGGGCATCGTATCGTATCTTTCTGACACTGTGTATTATCTTTAGAGTGTTCGTTCTTGATATTGCACGGAATAAATAGCTCCTACTTGCTGCGAGTTCTCAAACCAGCTCTCCACCCTGACCGTCCAATCTCTCCAGGCTCCATCTGCTTCATCTGCCTGAAGAATATCAAG